GTTATATATGGGAGATGTAAAAGGACATTGATGTATGCTGACTTGAACCACAAATATAGGAAATTGTAGGAGATTCGTGCGGACACCGAGATGTGCCAACTTAGAATGCTTATATAGGGAGTGTCGAATATGGAGACGTGTAAAAATGTTACGACATAACAACTTAAACTTTCCCATGTTGGGCACGTATTAGATATAAGACACGCAAGTGTGTCAGAACATGTTGACTTGAACTACTAGCGAGGGGAAGTATAGAATGTAAAAGGATGTGCTTGACAAGACTAACTACACCTTCGTATCTCACTACCTCAATAGCAAACTCTTCATAAGTTGATGAATCTAATAAAATCATGTTAAGGATGTGCTCGACAAGGCTTCTATGATATTTGTCACAGAGGGACACTATTGTAAAATTCTAACTTGACAATTGTCCAATATTCTCAATCAAATTGAAGGACCTATTTGTAATTAGTAAATTTTTAGGGAATAAAATGCTGAATTATGCATCTTGAAAATGTCTTCTATCAAAACTAATCTAATCTTTTACCTCCCCATCACCTTCTACATAAAGACCTCCCAACCCCTTAATGAAAAATAAGGTTTGGATAATAAAGGAGAAGAAAAAGAAGAATAGACATCAAGGGAAGAAGGAAAAAGAAAAAGAAAGAAAGAGGAAAAGGAAAAGAGGAAATAAGTAGGTTTTCTAATTTATTTAATTATTATTATGTTAATTAATATTTTTTATTAATATTTAAATTATTTAATCTAATAAATTGATTATTTAATTAATTAAGATAATTAAGATTGGCCCAAGTTCATAAGCTTATAGGCCCCACATTTAATCCATAAGCATAGGCCCATAGGCCAGCCCATAAACAATAATAACATAAATAGCCCATAAATATGCAGGTCAAGGTGGGTCCATAACTAGAGAGGTCCTCCAAATAGGCCATGGTATCCAATCTTTTATAGTATTAGTGAGAATATTTCATTTATGTGATGTCATGTTGTTGCCATATTGATTAGGTAGGTTCAAATGACATCATATCATTATTATGCTAGCTGACTTCTATGGCTAATTAGGTGATATATGTCAAACACTGATTAGTTATCTGTCTTAATTGAATTTTACTATGAGTCAAGTCTCGATTGTTTATTACTTTAGCCATTTTATTTGCTCCTCCATTAGGAAAAATGTTATCTATGTTGAATCATAATGTCAAACTTAGGAACTCAAAGGTGATTACTTGTATCAAGAAATAGTTAAGTAAAGTCCACTCGATATATAGACACTTGGGAGCACTAAGATGTGACAACTTAGACTTTCCTTATAAGAGTGTTGGATGTAGGAGATGCATAAGAACATTATGACATTTTATTTTTAATTGGTGCAGAGGGAATATCATGCATGAGAAACACATGATAGTGTTGGGGCATGCACCTTAAACTATATACATAGAGTATGATAGATGAAGGACATGTGCGAGGGTATCAAAACATCTCAAATTCAACTTCCCATGTAGGGAGTGTTAAATGGAGAAGACATAAGAGGGAATTATGATATACTGTCTTAAACTACCCATATAGGGATGCTGACTTAAATTGCATGTGCTATAAGTTTCGATCGCAAGAGATATATGAGTCTGTTATGATGTGTCGACTTAAACTATCTATGTAAAAAACATCGGACATAGGAGATATATGAGGATATTCAAATATGCTCACTTGAATTACTTATGAAGGGAGTGTTGGAGACATGAGATGCATGAGGGAATTGAAACATGTTGACTTAAATTACTTGCATAGGGAGTATCAGACTCAAGCAACACATGAGGTCATTAGAATATTCTAACTTGAACAACCCATGTTGGGAGTGTTGGACTATAAATATGCATGAGGATATTGATGTGTGCTCACTTGAACTACCCATGTAGGAAGTCATAGGAGATGAGTGCAGACACCAAGATACACTAACCTAGATTGCTTAGGTAAATAGTGGAAAATATGGAGATATGCATGAGTGTTGTGGCATAACAACTTAAACTGCTCATATAGGACATATTGGATACAAGAGACACGTGAGACTATCAAAATATGTTAACTTGAATTACTCATAAGGGGAATTCGAGTGCAAAAGGGCATGCTCGACAATGGTTATTGCTCATTCGTATCTAGACTCCCTTAATGGCAAACTTCAAGAGTTGACGGATCCAAAATAATTGCATCAAGGACGTGCCTGACAAGATTCTTGCATTTGTCTCAGAGGGACACCAGTGTAAAATTTTAACTTGCCAACTATTCCACATCCTCAATTAAATCTAAGGACCTATTTATAAATAATAATTTTTTAGAAAAAAAAAATACAAATGTACTCTTTCTAAAAATATTTTCTAGTTAAACCAACCTAATCTTTTATCGCCTCGTCACCTTCTATATAAAGACTTTCCTGCTCCATAAATAAACAACTAGATTTGGATAACAAATGAAAAGAAAAAAAAGAAGAGAGAGAAAGGAAAGGAAAGAAAGAAAACGCAAGAGAAAAGGAAAGGAAAAGAGAAAATAAGCAGGTGTTCTAATTTCAGGACACAGCTACAGTTTTCACCCCAAGATCTGCACTGTGATCGTGCTGGTGTGCTTGGTTTCAAGAGTCAACATTCTACTGCTTAATTTTCTAGAACATCACAACAGTGTCACCTTATAAATCTTGATGGACCTAAGTACCCAACCTTTAATCATCCATCGCATAGGTGCTTAATTGGTTTCTCTCATTTTTGTTGATATTTTAAGAGCTTTATAGTCTAATTTAGTCCATTTTCATCTTAGTTTTATATTGAATGTAGCTCAGATCATTTGCCAATATTTCACGATGAAAGAAAACATGAGATAAATAATTATTCTATTTTTTTATTTTTAAAGTAATATTAGGGATTTTTAATTTCAATTTTGCAACTGATGAACTGATTCGCTTCATCTAACCTGAATTATTTAATATATTTTTAATTATATAAAATTATAAATCAATATAGTCGACTTGAATTGACTATATTGTTTTTTTTGTCTCAAATAATAATATTCATTGTGTCATATATTTGATAAGATGAGGAAAGGAATCAAATAATACAACGCACATCAAACAAGTCTCGTTGAGATGTAAGTGTTGGAGTAGATGACTTCACAGAGGGGCCAATCATGCCCGTGAGGCTCACGTGACATCGTCGTGTCATGGCCAATCGAGCCACCAAACGCCGAGGAGTCATCGTCTCAAAGATTCCAGCTGTCGAGCTCCCATCCAAATGCTCACATGGTGGGTTCCCATGCACATCAACTTCATCCCATCAACACCCAACTACGTGAGATTGAAACCCTAACGGGTAGAATGGATAAGTACTCAAACTACCCAATACATCATAAACCAAATTGAAATATGCATCTACAACTCCATTAATGGGTTGGATAGACATCTACAACTCCATTAATCGTTCTCTTATATTTGATAGGTAGAGTAGGCACGAGTAATTGCTCAATTGTCATTCTGATGTGATTTTGCCAGAGGAATCAAAATTGGAGTGGTGTTTAACATTTGGTGCGACGTGCAAAAAGAAATAAAACAAAAACATAAACCAAAGTAAAAACAAAGTCCCCTAATTCCAAATTAGGTGTTGACCCACCACACATCACATCAGGATTCGGGAATCACGATCCAGATCCTTCGAGTTGACTTTTGGACGATGGCTACGAGATTAGAGGTGCTTTAGTCTGACTATGATTCTGATACCATGTTAGAAATAAAATATAAAAAAAATATTATAGAGTTTGATACGATACTCCTTATTTATATATATTAGGAGGAAGGATTTTCCTCAACAGAACTATGATATTTCCTTGTGTAGTTGGAGAAATCATGACTACTGTTAAAGCTATTTATTAAGGAAGATCTTAACTGCTATCACTTCAAGTGCAAAATGAAGCTTATCATGAAGTAATTAAGTCTCTAAATTTTGGAGGATCTCTTCCTTTCAACCATTTTTAGAATTACTAATTACTCAGCTTTTATCATAGTATAATAGAACTAAACATAACTGGTCATAGTAGCTGATCATGTGTTCAAAATATATGTACAATATCTTCGCCTTGTTTGGATTAATACTATGCATTTGGGTTTGATTCCTCATGTCAAACATAATCCAACTTTTAAGCTTTCGAAATTATTATTGACTCAATAAAGTAGCTTCCTTCTCCCTTAGGTATTGTTTGATATATAATAAACTCATGTACATGTCATGAGAGAGAGAGATAGAGAAAGAGGACAATTGTGCTGACAAGTATGACTTTACTTAAATATATATCTTAGTGTTAAGGTTCTGTTTAGTTAATAGGTAAGAGGGAAGAGACAAAGGAAAGTGGTCACTTCATCTTACAATTGTATTCGTCTTAATTCTCTTGAACTTGGTTGCATTCAATTGAGAGAATCTACTACTATTTTTTTTATATCTCCCTCTTATAATTATTTAATTACTGAGATTGGCATGTAACTATGAATTACTTTTCATTTATGGTAAATTTTGCTTGGTTATTTATCTTATGATGATGGTAAGACACCAAGATAGATCCGGCCAAGCTCTTCCACTGCTGACCTACCTTGGGAGTTAATGTGTGTGTTCAGGCAGTGAGTCAAATGCTGGGATGAAAATGACAATCTCCATGCTGCATGTGGTAGCATTCAATAGGACTATTGGGAAGTTTTGGTGGTTGGCATGGAACAGAAACGTCAAAATAAGGTTGATGAGGGGAACAAGGAAGCATGAAATGGGATACAGGCCTTGCAGTGTCGGTCTTAACAATCATAAGTTCTTGGTGTGATAATGTTTGGAATCTTACTGCAGTCTCAAAAGTCCAACATGTCAGCCTCATCCGTCGGATCCTCACATGCAGTATGGTCCTCTTCTCCAAGTCCCATCCATAGTTTCATCACAGAGACAGAGAGAGAGAGAGAAGTGTTGAATAGGCATTCTTAGACAAATCCCAAGTCAAGTAGTATCAACACATCTGCACAGGAAACCAGATGGGGTTTTCCACTTTGAACCCAAGTGGTTCACAGATTAACAGGCAGAGGTTGGTATCGTAATGACTAACCATGCAGTACGTGAAAGAAGAGAAATGAGCAACAATAAGAGAATAAATATATATAGATATATATATCGGCATCGCTTTGAGCTGCTTGTGGTGGTCGAGGTTCAACAGCGGGATCCCTTCTTGCACGAGAGAACGCCGGCAGAGACAGTGATGGTCCCGACGAGAGACGACGACCTGGCCCCCAAGCTCGAAGCCTTCGCGTAGCTCGACGAAGCTCCGGCCCCGGACGGCGTGAAGAAGGCTCCGTTCAGCATCTGGTCCCCTTCCGACCTCCAGTTCCACTTCTTCCACTCGCTCTCCTGTGCGTCCTCGCGTTTAGTCACCTGCACATCCATCGTGCTGCTTAGAAGTCGTTTCACAGGCCTTATTCTTTCGACTACGTACGTTTACTTGCAGCAGTGTCGAAGTACTTGCTTTGCTACCTTGTACTCTAAATTATCACCTTATGCATATATATATAGGGAAAAAGGGTAAAAGGGAAAAAGGATAATGTAATCTGCTGCACCTTTATGGTGCACTTGCAAGAACACCATGATGAGACAGCTTTATATGACCTACCTTTTCACTTTCTTCCTTTCTTAAGGATTAAGATGAAGACAGAGATAAATATATATACCGTACTGACCAATATTATTAGAAGAAAGAGTATTTATAGTTGTCGGTGATAAATGAAGGTCCCATGAACGCACTCACCTCTTTTGCGAACCGATCATTGGGCGCAAGAAATCTGTTGCCTTGGCTGTTTATAGTGGGAGCAGCACTCCCACCAATTGCGTACATCTCCCAGTGGGTGTAGTCATTGTTCACCACGTGGAAATAGCCATGCCGACACCTGCATCCTCGGTTAGATGTGAATTCCACCATGGATTTGCTGATGATTACCTCTATTCATAAGAACAATGGGTCGGTGCTCACCTTGGCATCCTCTGAACCAGGTCTTCCCCGAAGTGGTTGAAGGCTATGGTGACCTGCATGCTCTTGTCGGACGTCAACTCGTCGCTGTGACCCAGCAGCATGACCTTGTCATGGTGGCTCAAGTAGTTGTTGGAAATGGTGATCGCGGTGGATCCATGAATGGCGTCGATGAGGCCGTCGTGGCAGTTGGACAGCGTGCAGTGGTCGACCCAGACGTGGCTGCCGCCGAAGATGGACACCCCGTCGCCGTCCGACACCGTGCGCCACCCGTAGTGCCCTGGGGAGTCGCGCACGTACGCGTTCCCGCCCTGCTTGCAGTCGTGGATGTGGACGCCGTGGATGATGATGTTGGTGACGTACTGGATGGTGATGCACGGCCCGCCGGAGATGTGGACGCTGGCGCCCCGGCCGTCGATGGTCTTGTGGGAGTTCATGATGAGCTCCTCCTTCAACTGGATGACCATGTCGCGCTTGAAGATGATCCACAGCGGCTCCTCCTGGATGACGGCGTACCGGAGCGTGCCCGGCTTCGGATTGACGGGGTCGTCGTCGCCACTGTCGGTCACCACGTATATCTCGCCGTCCCTGCCCCCAATCGCGTTCTTCCCGAACCCGATGGCGCAGTCCGCGAGCCGCTGCCGGTTGTCGGCCCAGTCAGGGTCGCACCGCCAGCAGTCGTCGATCGGATTGCCGGTGCCGCAGGACAAGTAGCCCAGTCGCCGCCGCGACACGTTCAAGCTTCTGTGACAACAGCGGCGTCGACTTAGAATGCATGCATCAACAGCGCTGCATCATGTGAAAAAGTTGACCGAACCTGCATGGATACTCTACCTTTGTACTTCCTGTACTACTAATTCAGGGTCGCGGACAGCTGCTGACGTTAAGGGTGCACGAGAAGAGTAGATGGGGGCAGTGAAGGCTGCGATGGTGAGGAAGAACAAGAATGCTGCCATTTTTGTTCTCCGGTAAGTTGAGAGTTGTGAGTAATGCGAAGAGGAACGAAGGGATTTAAAGGCAGAGGATGCTATGGATGAGAGAAGGAAGAGAGAGGAAGTAGTGTGAACAATCTATGCCGGTGGGGTCCAAAAAGGTACGTGATTTGGGGAATCTTAGAAGCTAAAGATAATGGGAAACGTGACGCACCTTTCTCCACACATACTCTCTTCCTCTCCGTTCATCTTTTAGTAGATTTGACTACCAAACCACCATGCCCTCAAGAACAAAACACTGAGAGAATAATTATTCAGATGCATATATACATTACCTCCCATTGCCATGTCTGTTCTATTGTCTTCTTAACAACCAGAGACATGATACTACAGTAAGCTTTGGTAGTACAACATCAGAGAAGACTGTGTCTCAGGGCTGAAAGAGGGCATGGAGGCGAATTGAATTGCCCAGAACATTAATGAATGAGAACCCTAAGTTATCCAGGAACGGAGAACAGTTATTGCTGCTGGTGTCTCAACTTTAGCCCTCACATGGCGAGTGTCAGGCAGAGTTGAAAACCCCCAGAATGGATTGTGGACGCAGACAGTGCAGCGAAAGATTGAACTGCTGGCGTTTGCGCATTCCAACCACTGCCTTATTCCAGAGAGAAGCGCAGGTTGGTGCTGTGGCTCAATCTGGTCCCGTAGCATTGATGAAGTCCCAAGAGTCTCTAAGCGACTTAGCATCCAAATCACGGTTATTACTCTGCTAGCAAAGGTGAATGGGGGTAATTGCCATGACCAATACCTGGGATCTCGGCACGCTCATCAATGCGTCCTCTTTGGGTACACCAAACTCGTCCAAGATGCAGGAGCTCCATGGATTCGGAGTCGTGATCTTGTTACTGTGACTACACATGCCAAGGAAGAAAGGGATACGATAGGGGTGTTCACGGCACTGCACAGCACATGGGATGGCTTTCGGCCGCAGAGCGCGGCCTGACTTGTATCGATCGAGCCCGCTGCGATTGTGCCATGTCAGCGGGTGGGCTTCCACTCGTCTCTGTTGATGATGAAGATGAGGTGGCCGGCAGCGCATGTTTCTCCCACGTGAGCTTCCCACCATTCCCCTCGCGGCGTGGGCCCCGTCGGTCGTTCTCGGGGGAGTATGTGGGCCGTCGATCACGACATTAGGACGATCCCGTCCGTCCGCGACGCGATGGGGGAGGGAAGCAGAGGTCTCTTTTCGCGGCCCACATGGCCTTTTTTATGCCCACCCTCTAATTGTGTTGGATAGTGTGATGGCTCCTCTCCAACCGTCATCTCTCTCTCTCTCTCTCTCTATAGCTTTCCATGGTCACAGGGCAAAACCCATTCAAAGAGCTTGACAGTCTACCATCGTGTTCTAGCTCTTACAAGTTGCATCCAACTTGCAGGATGCAGCATATCACGCCATTGATGTGCTAAGCGTCAACAAATGAATTCAAAGTCAAAGCGTGCACTTTTCTTCCCTTGAGATTTATAGTACAATGTGATTGATAGCCATGGAAACAGTTTTCAGAGGTAGATATGCATATCATGTGGTAATGTCGCATTAAGTAGCCCTGCCTTCTTAGGAACAATCCCAAATCCTTTACTTGAAGCTTGAGGAGAAGCTGAAGAAGTAAATAGCTGCTAGCTTCTTGTTGACAATATTACTTTTTGCTGCAACTAACAACTGGTGTAGTGTTCTGCTGGTTTTGAGTCTAATTATATATCTTCCGATAAATTTATGAGAAATCATGTTCTAGTTGTTCAATGAAAGTATTGATTTAGCCATATCATTCTGCATGATTGAGACAAATAGCAAGAATAAGTACATTCTGTCTGCTGCTGAGAGGATCAAGAGCAGCCTATCTTGATCAAAAGTAATGCATGTCAGCTGCTTGTTCTAATGTCATCATATTGCTGATAAAGAGTCTTGTGTTCCATCAAACACCAAGGTTAACACCTGCACATCTATCTTTATCATGCACTACAACTTGTTCTATCGAAATGTCGATATCCCATTACAATGTCACTGCTTGAATGAATCTTTAAAGACTATAGATAGTGTCATCAGCAACATAAGCAAAAAAAAACAGTGATAATGATAGTGAACAAAGGGACATTGTAGCTTCTATTGTAGCTTTGTCATACATCCAATTCCCTTTCACCACTTGCACAAAATTATTGTGATGAGACCCTTAGAGAGCACCAATTTGCTCTGATCTCTTAGTCAGAGTGACCAACACTGAAGCCTATGATATTGGTGCTAATAGAAGCATTACTATCAGTAATGCACTACAACTATAGGAACAGTTGTAAACACCCTGAATCTTAGTAACAATCCACACAATAAAAAATAGTAACAAATGACCACAGAGTGAAGAAAACAGAGAATGGAGAGAATTTGATGTCTTATGTCTAGGAGCATATATGAAGATAATGCACTATATCAAAAGATTAGAAGTACTAGAGGATTATCACACACAACCATATATAATCATCAGTACCATCGAAAGATGTCTTGAATTTTCTTGAATTCGATTTATCATATGAATACTTCAATCCCTTCTTATAATTGCTTCACTACAAGTTCTGTTTTTGAACATGAGAGATCAAACATCCCTTTGTTCTTGAGGCAACAAATGTGTTTCCTTTGCCTTTTAATTGCTTGAAGTCTTTACATTCTTTGGTAAACAATGTTCTCTATGCAAGACTAACTGGTTCTTTTCAATCACCATTTTTCTCTCTAGATCACTCGATAGAATTTGTTGATGCTCAGAAGGCTATGAAGGTTCTTAATGCAACTCAAGAACAGGAGATACCTGTGCAAGTTATGTCATGTCAGCATCCATGGTCATAGGGCAAAATCCAAGCAATTAGCTCTAGCCACAAGTTACATCAAACTTGCATCATGCAAATTTGAAGAGGTTCCAATTTGGATGCTTTCTTCCCGTAAAAGCAATCTCATGTTGTCAACTTGCCCTATATTTGTCTTAGGTAATGTTGCTTATATTGGTGTAGCACAACTGGGCGATATACACAGTTCTATACATGTTTTTTTCCTTTCCTCGTCGATATATTCAAAAGCTTAAGCCGATAGATAATTCACAATTTTATTGCTTAACAATGTCTTTCATGTGTTGCAGAGTGACACAATGGATCAAGCCTAACATGCACAACTTGAATTAAATGGAGATGAAACTCAAACACATTGCATTGAACAGCTCTAAGACACTGAAGACTTGATCAGCAAGAAGCATTTAAGCTGGTTCCCTGATCCTGCTACATGAGTTCTGTGATATGGCCTCAATTGTTTGCCCCAAGCACATCAGTGAAACACATCAGGTGCAGTGTGGAGATTATGCAAGCATCATTGTCGTGCAAGTCACCTTCTTCTGTGTGCATGGTTGAGACGTATAGAGCAAACGAAGGCAAGAAAAATAGAGGAGATACTGCTGTGTCTGCTGCTGAGGGGTCGAGTCAGTGACCCATCTTGATCATAACCAAAGCATGTGATCTGCTTGCTCTGATGCTCTTCTTTTCCTTAATGCATTTGATGTTCCACTCACCATGAATGTCAGTATCATCTCCTCTCTGATCATCTTTTCGATCGAGATGTATAACCGATAAATTAACTAATCCAAAGGATCTCAACTGCAAAGTTTGATCATAATGATAGTACAATTAATGACACTACAGCTGATTTCTATGGCCTTCTTAGCATTTCTGCACAAAACAGCATTTGAAAGAACATTCAACTGCAAAGTATCATCATTTGCTGTTAGATCATCATAGATTTCTTAGCCAATTAAAGTGAGAATAAAGGGAAGTTCCTAAGCTTGATATGTCTTCCATTCTTTCTAGGAGTTGCTTATCCAGGAGTCCTGTTTTGAGACTTCAAAGATCTGGCAGCATTTGTTCTTGCAAAAACAACTGTACTTTCTTCAATTCCTAGTTTTCCATCAGTACCAGTTCTTTTTTTTACTTTGAGGTATTTCCTTGACTGAGAAAGCATCATATTAGCAAGTAAAGATTCAAGACAGTTGAGACTTACTTTGGTCAATGCAGGTTGAGAATCTAGTCCATAATCACTGAAACAAAAAAGACATGTCTGCAAGCAGAAGAATGTTGATAATTATTTGAAAGAAAGAAGGAACAAAGATTACTGATAATTTAACTTCCACATCCAAAAAAGCAGATGAAGTTGTGTTAAAGAGGTGCTTGCAGCTTTGATTCTCTTCTCACCAATCATGTAACTTCATGTCTTGGTGCCATATTTGCTTAGAGAAGAGAAGTCAATCAAGTAGTTAGCTTCTTTTTTCAGATGTGGGAAGGGCTTGATGACTTTAGATTAGATTGCTAAGCCTTTCCCCTTGGCACTGCAGAGTTTTAGTGAAAGACACAGAATATTTCATCAAAAAGAAAGACATTGAGACTTTTTCTCTGATCAAGACATGATACACAATGTCTGCTATAGCAAATAGGACTCTCAAACTCTCCACAACCAGGTATACAACTGCTGTATGTATAGGTGATTGGATGCATTGCTTGTGCATACATCTCTTATTGTAAATGTATTATATGTACCAATACATATGCCATGTTGCTTAGTTTGAATCATAATCATATATATGCATACATGTAGACTTGCTTTTTTTCATATTCTTATGTGTATAAAAAAGCTTTTATTTATATATGCATGTATGTAGCTTGTGATATAATCATCATAATTCATTTTCAAATATTTCTGATTATTTTCATGTTGCTACTACAAAAGCCAAGTACAATTTAATATACAGAAGTTAGAATTATGGGACTCAGATGTTTCATTTACTTTCCCACATTAATCTGCAGGCACTGGTGGCATCACAGAATGTGTGTTTGGCAAGCATAGTGAGAAGAAGTCCAATTGATGCAGTTTGGTTTGAGAAGTTCCACATCTAATGACATGGCTTTGGCATGAGCATGAGAAGGTTGAGACTCTGAGTTAGCATATTAAAGACCTAAGCATGTACTATCCATTATAATATACACATTAATCAACCTCATATGAATCATCTATCTGTATGATTCATGCCAAATCTAAAGCTAGCATTCATTGCAGCAACACATTTGAATCTCCTCAAGTGAATTAAGAACATATGAAGAAAAGCATGTTGCCAGACCAAGAAAAAAACCATATTACACAAGGATAGAACTAAAAAAAAATCTTGTTTGGTCATGAATCTTAACAACTTGGTATTGTTTTTATGACACTGCTCAGGTTACTTTTGCTGTGTGCAATTTATCTGTAAGTTTTCAGCTGACTATGGTGTTTTGATACATCCTTCATGTCAACCATCAGTAGAGCATATTCTTCAGTTCATTTGCCTCGTTGGTGTCCTGAGAAGGATCCAACCAATGAGGTGATAAGAAAAGTTGGAGTGGGTTCTGAACATGAGGACAGTATCTCTCCTGATGTAATCCTCAGATAAGGTGAGAATCTAACACACATCACCCCATTGGATGCCTGAAATCTAACTTGCCCCACCCACAGCTGCTTCCTCAACATTCTCATCCCACACAGACTCACCTTCTCCCCAACACAAGCCTCATCTCCTCGTCTTCCCTGAGCTCCTCCCACAGCAACATCCATCCATGGCAACCATAGCAACCGTGGCCATGCTCAACGCGAAATGCCCTGCTCCAAACCATCTTCCCTCCTCAAAGTCAGCACCAACGAAGCCAGTCTCGCTCCTCTCACTCCAAAACCTTCCCAAGGGAGTCCATCTTTCCAAACCAATCAACACCAGCAGCCCTTCTTCCTTGAGCGCGGCCGCCATCGCCGGGGCCTTCTTCGCCAGCCTGAGCAGCTCCGACGCGGCCTTTGCGGCTCAGCAGATCGCCGACATCGCCGAAGGCGACAACCGCGGCCTCGCGCTCCTCATTCCCCTCGTCCCAGCCGTCCTCTGGGTGCTGTACAACATCCTCCAACCGGCGCTCAACCAGCTCAACCGGATGCGGAGCGAGAAGGCGGTGGTCGTCGGGCTCGGCCTCGGCGTCGGTGGCGGGCTGGTAGCCGCAGGGCTGGCGTCAGCGCCGATCGCATCGGCGGGGGAGCTGATGGCGGTAGCCGACGCCTCCTCCTCGGGCGACAGCAGGGGGTTGCTGCTGCTGTTTGTTGTGGCTCCGGCCATTCTTTGGGTCCTCTACAACATTCTGCAGCCTGCGCTGAACCAGATCAACAAGATGAGGTCTGGGTGATGATCGGCTGCTTGAACCGAAGGCTTCAATCTAATAGCATCTCTTCGATATGTATGCAGAATAGTATGTGCCATATTAACGACGCTGGTCTCCGTTGACGATCGAGATCGTTTTCTATCTGTTCCATTTGTGGCATTCACTGTGGTCAATATTGGTCCTGTTTACCAAGAACCAAATCTAAACCATTGGATCACGATCCGACGGTCAAAATTATTTCTATTAGGTCTAAGACCTTTTTTTCTTTTCAGATTCATCATTAATTCGCCATATATTTTGATCTAATTCAAAATTTTATTTTTCTTTAATTTGCACATGATAGTTTTAATTAAATCACACCATTGTTTGTAATATCATAGCGTATCACTCATAGTATGTACCGATCCAATAAAAGATCGATACAGAGTATATCTTAATATATCATGTATCATAATTGATCGATATATTGATACGGTACGATATTTAGAATTTTACTTTCGATATGTCTTTCATGTGGGCATAGATAATTATTTTTTTAATTATTGAGCAACCTTACTAGTTGTTTTCGTTGGTTTATTTTCTTTTAAATTACCAATGACATTTGGAAAACTATTCAAGTCTGTTTCTAATAAGGTGCAACAATTCATCTACTTGATTCCATCAATGAGTTGACCAACAAGCTTTGTTGGTAATGCTTCCAAGGATGTGCAATAATTGAGATACCAAATGGTCCATCACTGCTTGCCCAACAATGATAGATTGCATTGTGATGATCACACCACCAAACATGATTGCATTGACTGTTTCAGGTGTTGTCCTGTGCATGTTGATGCTTAGGTTTCAAATAGCAATGCATTGCTCTTAGATGCATGAAATTTGTTTTAAAAATCTAAACAATTTTCTTGTATTTGATTAAAAAAATAAAAGAGGTGCTTCTTTCATATACCATTATATGCTCTAATATCTTAAATATTCTTAAATAAACTTATATAGTTTTGATGGAGATGTCAAAAATATTATAATTGGTGTAGAAATTTCTTGTTTGATTATTCTTATTCCTAGTTAATATATTTAAAATTTTATTTTTGTATATGAACTAGTTCTATTAGATTTTGCGTCTCGTTTACGGTATATTTGAATAGACTTATAATATTTTGATTGAGATACCAAAGATATTATAATTTTATTAAATGATATTATAAATCTTATACATGAGAGATTGAATCAATACATAGTGATAATTGCTCCATATGAATAAATCAATTCACCCTATAAATTGATCCATAAATATCTTGTTAGTCAGACATTTTAAAGATTATGGTAAATAGAGAGTGACTTTAAGAAATATGAAAAGAGACATCACTTAGGAAAGCCCCCAAAACAAAAGTCTAATTTCATTTCCTTCATTGTTATTTATGGGTGTAAGCAAACAATGGTGGAAGTTCTTTTCCAACTTTTGTTGCCCTAAGCCAACTTTCATTTTATCTGTTTCTTTTTCCTTCTCACTTATTGGACTTATGATCCAACTTGTGTGGGATATTAGAAATACTTCTAAACTTTTTGGGGAACCAAATGAAATGATCCCCAATGGGTGTCATGATTGGCAACATGTTGCCTTCTTCTCACCCATTCTCTAACAGCACTTTGTGCTAACACAGAGTAATTTCTTAAATAAAAAATAAAAATAGAAAACACATAGTAGTTTCTTTTTTTTAATTTACTAATATATATGATTCATTATTTTCAAACAAGATAGATCATAATTAGTTATCTATGTGAGGAGAGATTTAGTTGAGATAGGCTTCTCATATTTCTATAAAATAGATGTAGAAAGTATATTTCTATAAAATAGGTGTCCAAAGTGTATCAAGAGAGTCATTTATATAGGTTTTATTTTTTTACAAAGAATAAATGATAAAAATGAGATTCAAGCTCAACTAAAATATTTATCAGCTAAACTAACCAGTATTTTCTTTTATATACTAATATGATCCTATTAATTTACTTTTGGAGGATTTTTTTGAAATTATCAGGGAAAATATTTTCATGCCCTAACAAAATTATGCTGAGTTAAATATCATTATATGATTGAAATAAGATATTCCTCATAAGTTAGAATTGGCTCATGTTAAAAAAATTGGTATATGTGTCAAGAGTTCTTTATATAATATTTTTTTAATATGACAGATAGCATAGTTGATAAATATTTTAATAATATATAAAAAGATTTTGGGTTTGAATCTTATCTTCATCTAGCATAGTTCTTTATAATATATATATATATATATATATATATATATATATATATATATATATAAAATTCATTTTTTTCGAATAATATCATAAAATATCTTTCACCAACCTCAGTTATATTTTTTCCATCAGTTACATTGTCTTGGTCTATTATAATATTTTAGTCACCATAATAAAAATACTATAAAATTTATTTGAGAATACTATAAATAATACAAATTAACTTGTAACCTTAATGAAACCAAACTTCAAGTCTAAAAATTTAATATTATAATGATTTATGAGTAATGACAACCAAAGAATGTCACTTATATTATTTTTCAATAGTTTTATAGTGTTTTAAGCCATTAAGTGAGTCAAAGTGAATTAAAATATACTAGAAATCATTTGATGTATCATACTAACATTCATATTGATATTTATAATAGTTGAGAATATTACTCAAATAAGGATAAAAAATTGGTCAGTATCACGATAAAAAATATTGTTATACCCACCCAAATGAACTCCTAATATCAATCAAACCAACTACAAGCCTAAAAATATAGTATCATAATGCTCTACAAGCATTGATAACTAAAGAAACATAATATGATATTAGTTATATTATTTTTTAATAATTTTATAGTGTTTAATATCTCGATAAAAATACTATAATGTTATTAGAAACACTATAAATCAACTAAATGAAATTATCATAACAGTACAAAATTGGTGAAAAAAAAATAGAAATGGAATTGGTGAGGAATATTTTGAGCATTATTCAGAGCAAGCGTACCATTTGGAAATAAAATAAAATAAAAATATCTTTGTAAAAAAAAAAAAAAAAGATATATATTTTTTATTTTTAATATAGCCGCAACGGTTAATAAAACTACCGACTGTCCTTCCGCCTCCAATCGTAGCCACCACCTCCTCTCCTGCCGTGTACGCTTCGGTCCGAAAAAATCCTCTTTTTTTGCGTCGCTTGCGAGGAGTTTGGACTGGAAGATACGTCTCGAATGTTCCTTCTTCTTCTTCTTCTTCTTCTTCTTCTTCTTGTGCGTTAGGGTCTGGATTTGGTGCTTCTGGTGTGGTCCGATAGGTTGGTTCCGGTGCTGCTGCGGAATCGGGACGATGGAGCCTCCGAAGGGGTTCTGGGCGACTCTTTGGTGTTTCCTTTGCTTCCTGCCCTTGTTCCTGGGGTTGTTGATTCTGGGCATCGTGAAAGGTGAGTTCTTGCTTCTTGTTCATTTTGCTCTCCCCCTTCCTCTTTACCTCCATCAAGGTCGGGTCTTGCCTCTTCGGTCGGTTCCTATTTACTTGTTCTTCCTGGATTCCTTTTACACGATCTTTTCGGCTTTGTTGCGCTTCTTGCTCTTCTTTTTTCGGTTTTTGTTGCTTCTGGCCATTTCCATAGGTAAGTTCTTTTGTTCTGTTGGTTCTCTGTTCACTTGTTCTTCCCAGATTCTTTTTTCCTTGCTTGTGAGCATCATTAGATCCTTTTATTTCATTTTTCTTTTGTTCTCTTGGTTCCTATTTGATTGTTCTTTCTGGATTACAGTTTCCCGTTCTTTCTTGGTTTGTTGCTTCTCAGACACTGCATTAGCGGAAGCCTCAGACATGGGTTGCCCTTTTTTGGCTCAAAATATTAGCACAATTGAATATTATCACCTAAATTACTAACAGGTCATATAATAATATATGGAAAATGTAGCCAAGGAGGAGAGGTTATTAGTAAAAGGAGGATTGACTGTGTTATTTTGATGTTTAGCAATGATCTTGCATCGGATTGACGCAGGTAGGTGATCAGCCGAGACCGTTTTCAGATTGGATTAGCTTGCTTCTAGTTCACCATGTTTCAGCAAAACGAAGTACTTTGAGATATACTCTCGTATTCTAGTTGTGTCATCACCTCTTAGATAAGTATTGTTAATTTATTCATGTGGTCAATTTATATGTTAGATTCTAAGACATAATATTAAGAAACTTAAATCTACATTAACTTAGTATATTCAGGTGATAATCTATTTTCATCAACTCCTCTTTTTCAGGTACTCTGCTCTGCCCATTTGTTTGCCTTATCGTGACATTAGGAAATTCTGCAATCATATTGGGTCTCTGGCCAGCACATGCAGTTTGGACATATTACTGCATAGCAAGGTAAACATTTGTATCCAATTTAGACATATGCAAATATTTTTTTCTGCTCATTATAAGTTTATAACATATTAATCATTTTCATTTATTTCTTAAAAGGCAGAACCAAACAGCTTGGGCCTGTTCTGAAGCTTATTCTTGCTGTTGGTGTATCTATCATCTTAGTTTTGTGGCCACTAGCTGGTATATTTGGAAGCATCCTCATAGGAGCAGGCTATGGTTTTTTAGCTCCCATCATGGCTACTTTTGATGCTGTTGGAGGAGGAAAGGCAAACAATCTCATACACTGCTTCTTGGTATATCTGATTTCTTTTTTGTTATTAATTATTTTTCACTCTTTTAAGATGAGTTCTGTTCTTATGTTTACAAAAATTAATCTGTGATCCCCAAATAAATACAGGATGGAACTTGGAGCACAATCAAAGGAAGTTTTACAGTGGTCAGAGACTTCAAAGATGTTTGCTTTCATTCCTATTTCTCGATTATGGATGATCTACGCCTCCATGATCCTCCAAACAGAGAGCCCTATGAGATTAGGTCAGCTACTGTCTTCATTTATTTTGTACTGTCTTGTCTATAGTTTATCTGAAAGCTCTTTTAAAATCAATACATATATTTTAAATGCCTTTATTATCATGTCACTCATATATAAACCCATAATCCTAGCTTCAACTTGGTGATTTCTGGAAAAAGTAAAGATTTGTCCCTTTGGTTTGGTTTGACTTTCATATCTCATGGTTGATATGTAGTTATATCGTATTGAATTTTTTTATTATTTGAAATAGCTCATTCTTATGCTAAGATGATAACTTTTTGAATTGCTTATGTCCATATTTGATACTGAAATGTTTTCTTTGAACTTAAACAACCTTGGTTGGACTTGGTTGAATATATCTGGTTATTGGACTTCATCAGTTTTGTGTTTCTCAACCTAAACCATGTGTTTATACTAGAAATTTTGTAAATTCAATTATAGTGCATGAGACCCTTTGTTTTTGGTTTATAACATGGTTTGTAAGAGTGTCCGATCATATTTATCTTGTCAATCCGGATCAAGGATGCTTTGGTCTTGATCCTGATTCTGTCAACAAATTGGGAGTGTCACTGTAAATTTGCTGAAGATTGGCTATGAATTGGTTGGAGAAATCATTGGTTGATCTCAACAAGATACAACATATGCTTGCATGTGTAGATGAAGAAGATGAGAAAAATATGAGAATGGGAGGAACAACATGAGGGAAGGAGTGTGTATAAAGACAAAAAACTTGCAATGGCCACTAGCTGTGCTGCTCTTCAGCTGCTGTTGCTTCTTCAGTGTTGCTTGTAGGACGATGAGGGAATGGTAACATGTGCATTTGCAAGGGAAGGATGCTAGAAGAGGGGAAGGAGAAAGAGAGTGTACATGGCAGCTTATACATTCTTGATCTTACACTCTATGCTGACGTTTTAAACTTGTGTAAGTTATTCTAAGTAGTCAAAACCATGTGTCATATGGCCTAATTTGGATCTTTATACTTCAATATAGGGAAGGCCCAGTGGAGAAATTTCTATAGTAAAGATAGGGAAGGCCCAATATTGGGAAGGCCCAGTGGATCTTTATCAACCTTCCATTTGAAATGATAGCTCATTCTACTTAATCCAGAGTCTCTCTCAGTGACAAATATTTTTTCTTTTCCAAAAAAAAAAGTTATATTACTAAATCAAACACATACAACCAACCCCTCTCCTATTAGAGGCAATCAAAACCTCGGGACAGACATTCCAAAAACTGTCACTTTGGTTAGCCACTAATATTCAGAACAGAAATCAAGTTTTGTGGTTTTTTGCTTGTGAGAAGGTATGTGCTCTAGAAAAACGAGAGGTTCTAGTTTGCTGGTTCAAGAATAAATTCATAAATTAACATAACATGATTTGCAGTGAGGATGATTACAACCAGCTTATCTGAAAATCAAATTTAGCAAATAAATTAATTGATTAAAAATGTCAGTTCTCCCTCTCTCTACATGAGCATGTGTATATGTGCAGATGAGCATGTACCCACATGCATGTGCCAAACCATTGCTTGACGAATAAATCCAAAGGTATTAGAAATTGGATTTCTTGGGGACCAAGGTTCCAATTAAGAGAATAGCCTTTGTCAAGAGAAATAAGGCTGCCTTTATTAGTTCATTCTGTATTGATAAGGGTTGTGAAGTTGATATCACTAGATCATCCTTTTTTATTTAGTAAAAGATACATTCCATAAGGTCTAAAAGGTTTTCTGGTGGATGGAAATTGGATAGACATTTATATTACAGTCTAAGATAATGCAACTTGAAAGCACAACAACCTTGAGGGAAAGCCAATAAAACAAGACATTCAGTGGAATATTGATCTCAGAGGCCTAAAGGTTAAATTATAGGACGCATCACAAAACATGATTCGATGGTTTTACACATTGAAAATGATCTAAGTCTTCTTTGAATTTGTTCATGATACTCTATATGTTCAAAAGTCAAAACTATGATGTGAAGTCAAAGAACTGTGTATAAATGCCTTTCCTCTTATGATCTATACTTGTGTAACTCATGTCGTAACATGTCTTGTTTAATGTGTAGCTCCTTCTTGCTCTATCTTCTGTTGGAAGTACTTCTATGTTTTTTGTAATTATCAGTCTAGTAAAAGGCTTGACTTGTAGCATGATAGCTACTTTTCTATGTCACACAGGAAAAACTATGATAGTAGGTAATTTTTTTATCAAAAGATTTTTAGCATCATATCATTTTTTTTCATACTATTGTTGTTGTACATCGCCTTTTGATCTGTTACAATGTGGTTGTCTTAATTTAATTTGAACTGATGGTAAGACTACTGAGAATCTACATTAATATCTGCCAGATTGCGTGATATTCCCGGTGCCTGTATGATTGGTCTGCTTGGAATTATGGTTGACATGCCAATTATCACATTAATTGCTATTTGCAAGAGCCCGTGTATGCTTTTTAAAGGATGGAATCGTTTATTTCATGATCTTATAGGCCGAGAGGGCCCATTTTTGGAGACTGCATGTGTGCCGTTTGCAGGTCTCGCCATTCTTCTCTGGCCATTAGCAGTCACATCGGCGGTTGCTGCTTCCATAATATCTTCTTTCTTTTTAGGTGCATATGCAGCTGTTATCACATACCAGGTCTGAGTTGGTTTCATTGGCAGATATGATTTTGGAGAAAGTTCTGTTACATGATTTTAGCTACTGCATGACATGAATCATCAGTAATCATCAATATCTAACCAGAATTTCCTTCTCTCTTGACTGTGCAAGTATCAAGTTTGTCTCACACATTAAATGTGTTCCATGAACTTCTCTTGGATTTCTTAGGAGACATCAGTCAAGATGGGGATAGCCTACATCATCTCTTCCTTGTCTATGTTTGATGAATATAGTAACGATGAACTTGGCATGCGACAAGGGTCATGCTTTCCCAGGTAGTATGAACTTCTATTACTTAAGTTAAGCATTGTACTAAAATGCTAAACTTATTGTTTAATTCAAATTTTCTAGGCATCGGTATCGAAAGAATGAATCACTGCATGCTAGCTCTTTCACCAGGCCTGCCTCTTTTCAACGAGGAAGTCAAGATGGAAAGAACCCTCCTTCACATGCTACCTCATTCAAGAATGGCATTCTTGAATTGAAACCATTGAAGGTAACAAAGTTCTTATGTTATGTCCAGATATTAGCTAATTATATGGGGTATAAGAAAAAGGTTTACTGCTTGGGCTACATGTCTGGGAAATCTGGTTGGTGATGAAAGCAGAGTGATTAGTTTCAGTTCATAGACCCAAATTAACTTTTTCAAACAGCTAACTGAAGTGTTTACAACTCTGCACTATATGTCTGATAAAATGCCATTACCTTTCAAAATACAGTGATAGGTATAACCTGACCTTCTCTTTCATTATCTTATTTGTAACTTTGATATGAATAGCTTTCCTTTTTCCTTACACCCTTCTCTTCTTTGAGGCTCCTTTGAGGTCTAGAAAACTTGTGAAGGGTGTTTTCTGCATGAACTAGTTGCACACATTGTTCTTGCCTAAACTTGCCTTCAGTTTAATAGTAAGCATGTCTGCAGGGTTATTAACATCAGATTAAGAGCCTGTCATAACCTTTTCTTTTAATCGTGCTGTATAAACAAATATCATGATTGTCGAGACAATATGGCTTCTTGGTATTGTTGTATAAACAAATTTCATATGGTTCAGTAATCAGCCACTCATTTGAGGTTTCCATTATCTAGGGTAGAGGTCTAAAATTTATTTGGTCTATTATTCTCCATGCTGTCCTGATATGATTAGCTGATTTCGGTTTCCAAATTGTAATTGATTGGTAATTGAACTTTGAAATTGGTGAGAGCTGAATGACTATATTTCTTGTGTAGTTATTAGATCACCTATTCTCGGAGTGTAAGCACCATGGTGAGACATTGGTTGCTCAGGGTGTCATACAATATGAAGACATCAAAGAGTCTCAGTCCAGTAAGGGTGGCAGAAGCAGGATCATAAACATTGGTTTGCCGGCATACTCCATACTTCAGGCACTCCTATTTTCTGCAAAGGCCAACTCTGATGGTTTAGTCTTAAGTAAGTAAATAAAAGGTATCAAATCTCTTTCAATTATCAACCAATAAATAGAAGCTTATTTGATTGTTGAATCGTAGTATTTGATGAGTTAGATGGTCGGCATTATAACAGGTGACAACACTGAGATCACGACAGAAAACCGACCCAAGGATAAAATCTTTGGTTGGTTCTTTGATCCTTTGATGATCCTGAAAGAGCAGATTAAAGCCCAAGATTTCTCAGAAGAGGAAGAGCAGTATTTGTCCAAATTGGTGCTGCTACTTGGTGATTCCAGGAGGATCAATAACCTTGACAATCAATCACCACCTCTGGATCAACGAAAACGAGCTGAGATAAATGCGTTTGCTCGCAGGTAACTCAGACTGATCTTTAAAATAAATTTAATAGTAAAAATATATAAATCATGACATTGATAATAAAAAATAAAAAAAAGAACTTTTTTTCTATGTTGCTTCTTGTGCTAGGTTGCAAGGCATCACCAAATCACTCTCGAGGTACCCAACGGCCAGACGACGTTTTGATGATCTCGTACAATCTCTCTCGGATGATCTTGAGATGAAGTTAGGGAGCACTCAATCTGCCAATAAAGCTCAAATGCAATATGTAAGAAGTGGCATTGTCAGAATTTTCAGCCAGAGGTCATTTAAGATGAGTAAAATCACAAAGAATAGTCGCAGAAGCACAATTGGTTAATAATGTTCTCTAGTTATATAATTAATATTTTTGAAGTATTTATATGTTTAGCCAATGTCATTTGATTGTTGCAACAATTTAAAATATACCTGTATTGTCACAAACACATTGTCACAAGGCACACCAGTGCCTTCATATTTGCTTTAAAATGTGTAATAGCCATCATCTTGGCTTTCCTAATATTTAAGCTGAAGCTGGAATGTGAGGATGCGTGTTGTTCCTATATTGTATATAGATGAATATCATAAGAAGTCTTTATTTGAGTGATCCATTGAGTTTTCCTTTTATATACAATATCTGGAATTCGAGAATACCTAATGATATTATCTTAGGCAGAGTTCACCAAAGGTAAAAGATCCATAAAACTGATCGCAAATAGTCCATTGTATTTACTATTATTAGATTAATTATCGACATTGATAGCAATGCTCAAGATCTCACGAGGTAACTAGAAGTCTACTAAACAGCATATTCCATGGACACATGATACTGATAGTTGTATATCCATAAAACTTTGCAAAGAAACATTGAGCTCATACTGTTAGTTTGCTACAGTCGGATTTCAAAAACACCAAAATTGGACAACAAAAATCTGCAGAATCAATCATTTCTAATCATGAAACCATGAAGCACCAGGCAAAATTGTTGGAAGCAGCAATCTTCATGGACAGCCAGTGCCTGTCAAAGAGGGATGAAAAAGGTTTGACCACAATGGCTGGACAAGATTTGTCGATGATCCTGTGTCACACCTCCCAATTTAAGCTTTAGAAGTCCAAAAAATCACATGAAAAGCTGCAAACTAGCTGGCGGTCAATCAGATTCCGGCTGCGTTTCCGGTACAACATCTACAGGTTGGCTCTCAGAGTCTTCAGCTTGTGATTGAGAAGCAAGAAACTTGGCCTTTTTGTAGCTGTTCGAAGATCTTAGTATTGTACCCAGTGGCATGCCCTTTCTGGACACACTCAATGATCTGATAAAGATGGAAAAGAGAATGAATGCAATGGATTCAGTGCTAGCAATTAACAATAGAGCAAAGTAGTTATTTTTCTGGAGCTATTCCATCATGAACTCATTCAGAAAATAAAGTAATTTAATACAGAACATAACTGTGAAACAGATCACCAGAAAACAGGGAAAGTACAGATGGGTTGTAGAAGCAAAGGAAATTTGCTTTAGAACTGTGAAAAGGTCCATTTTCTGGAGTTTTATATCCCTTCCGCATGTCCTTGTGTTTCAAGATGGATACAGATGCTGAGGTTCTAAAGGCTTGTTGGTCAAGTCCCTTGAGAGGATTTTGATCAAAAAACAGAACTCTAGGCCTCTGCCACTGTCCAGCTACTCTGGAGGGCAGGCTGTATGTCATAGAAATGAAGAAACCACCATCTTTTCATTGTGAAGTAAGTACCAAGCATTTTAGCTGTCATGGATAGTCAATGTTCCACAATCTATAAGCGAGTAGAAGTGGAAGAATTCTATGATCCACAAGATCATCTTTTATCTGAGTCACTCTTTATCATAGAAGCTAAGTAGTGCCAAGACAAGAGCAACTAATGTGAGTCTTCAATTTTAATCAGAAGCAGAATATTTATAATAACAAAATCTCATACTACGCTTCTTTTCAATTTTACAGATCATCAAATGATGAGGCTATGCCAAATTACTTAATAGGAACTGGACCCATACAGCTCCTGGCCCAAACTGGTACGGGTCAGAGCCATATTGGCATATTATGTGTAGCTATGTTGGTACATACAGTGATACTTCCAAGGGAGGGAGAGGAGGGGGAAAGAAGAAAGAGAAGGAATAAGAGAAAGAAGATGGAAGAGGAAAAAGGAGATGAAGTGGAGGCAGTGGAGGAAGCGGGGAAGATGTACCGCACCATGCAGCAGGCAGTAGGTGCATGGGTGGCAACAGGCGATGGGCACGCGAGCATTGGTGGTGGAAAAGAAATGCTTGTGAGAAGCCACGACTCAAAATGCTTGCGATGGGCATGTGAGTGTTGGTGATCGAAAGCAACCACTACAGTAAGTGGTTACCAGTAGGGGCCGGTTTGGGCAACATTATATACAAATACATAGTGAACCGAACTATCCAGTTTGGCCTACTCCTGGAACCGGTCGACAGTCAGGATCAGTAACTTGTAACCAAACCATGCTAATCAAGTCAGTTTTGCAATCCTTGATCCCAACCACAACATACCATGGTGTTTTCTTACAGTCACCAATTTCCTAGGTGCCTTCAAGAATTAGAAGGCAACAAAAATTTGACATTCTATAATTCCTATTGCATAATTGGCACAAGTGCATTTAACTACATATCTAACAGTCCATGGATATGCTATAACAATAGCAGTTCTCAATAAAATTTCTCATAGGTGTACACTACTGTTAATTGCTGGCTACATCAGAATTCTAATCTTAGCTGGTGCAAGAATGCTCCAAAGGGATTGTAAGAATATTAGACCAGATACCATCAACAACTTTCCAGAGAGAGACTAATATACTCAGACAACTAGAGAGTCTGGTGTTGTACAGTGGAGCAAAGACAACCAAAGGTAGATAGGCAAGGATGTAATTCACCAATCGTTCCCAGCTTTCCATCATGTGGAGCCTTTAACATCTTAGCCATGAGGGACGGTTGGATCAGCTCTTTTAACACTGGAGAGTCAAGATATGCTAGGGTATTCTGGGAATAAGAAATCACAATTGGCATGAAACCAGAGCACAAACGTGATGTATATCGGGTAGTAGATGATAATATGTACAAACACTAGCATGAGCCTATACATATGTACAAGGATTTATCTATGAGTTGTCCTTTCCATTGCCGTCTGCCTTAGATGATTTTAAGAAAAAGATGGTCCACACCAACCTATAAGACTAACTGTATCCATTCATCTACAGTGGGAACATAAAAACATATGACCACACAAGCAATAAAACTGGTACAACTAAAACCAATAATACCAACCTTCGATTATAAATGCCACTGGAAGGCAAAGAACATGGAATCTCATATATTAGTATTAGATTTCTTGATTAAACTTACTGTGACAAAGTGATGTCTCCATCAGATCCCTCATCTTTACTTCCATATGCTGCAGATTTAGGTCCTGTTACAGAAATTGATGGCACAGTTATTAGCTCACAGAAGATCATTTTGAATAACTCACGAGAAAAATTTCTTGCATAAAGACTTTAACCAGTGAACTTTTGTACAAAACAGGCAAAAGTATAACAAGATTCAGCTGCTTCAGAAGGAAACCATCAGTGAAAAGAAATTTGAACCGATAATTATTAATAAGTAAAGCAAAGAAGGAAAAAAGAAAGCCCTAGAGGTATGTAGGCTGATAATCATGACCATTGAACAACAAAATACAAAAAAACCAAGTGATGAAGCAAACGGTTTAAACCATCTTGATAGAATACAACCAAGATATGATACTAACAGTTGTTTGTGTCGCAAGCAAACCAAATGGCATACTACCTATAAGAAATGCATCTCTACAGGTCACACCTTTAAGCGCGTAATCATTCATGGTTTGAGAACTAACTCAGGTGGTGGCAAGCCTCAGACGATGTCTAGATAACCAGTGACTTGTGAGAAAGGAACAAAATATAGTTACAAAAGCATGTAGATGTACTCAGGAAGGAAAATTACACTATTTGATCCAGATGTGAATGGAAAAAAGGTAATAGTCAGATAACTACTATCATGGAGATGTTCCCTGATCTGGCAATAAAAGGGATAAACAGTGTAAAGAAAAAAAAGAATAAATGAGTTAATCCTTGAAATTCCATTCATAAAACTATGTTCAAGTTCAATCTTATATATGCATATCATGTAAAGCCAAAGTTTGACCTCCTATCCCTATGACAATGACCTCAAATTCTACCATCAAATCAGTTGCAGAACCAAGTGAAGCAACTGATCACTAAATTAATGCAAAGCCAAAGAAAGTGGTCAAAATACCTGATATCTTTCTGTTCTCAAGGTCACCATCAGAATCAGATGATGAAGCTGAAGAATCAAAGGCCCCTAACTCAGTGACTTCTCTGTTCCTGAACTCAAACTCATCTTCAGAACTATCACTTGTAGCAGCATTAAAAATGGCACCTGGGGTAAATAAAGAGCTCTCTTGTTTATTACTGTTTGAGAACTCCCCAAAATTTTTGCTTGGAACTTTCCTAACTGCAAGTCTATATTGTTTAGCTTGGACTGGTGTATCTTCCTCCGTGCTGTCAGATGATGCTACAGGATCAGCCATAGTTTCCTTGTGAGAAACTCGAGAAGTCTTAGATGGACTCTGAACTGCATGAGCACCTACATTGACAATTACATTTTTCTCAGGTTGGCAAGTTTCATTTCCTAAGTCAACAGAGGCATTAGCATGGTGATGGTCAGGAGATTTAGCTGCAGCCTTCGAAGAAGATGCCTTCTCTTTGGAATTATAGACATGTTTGCTTTGCTCATCGTGTGATGACAACCGGAATGTGTCAGGTTTGTTACCTTGAATCTTCTCTTCAACATTGCTATCATGCAACCTTGTTGGAGGCATAAAGTCAGACGTGGCAGCGCCAGCATTCACATCACAATTTGTCGTCCTCTTGGCAGCATCATCATGTGCTTTTCCATTACTGAATCCCTTAGAAGTAGGCTGGCCAATTTGATCAGATAAATCCTGGTTACCAGAATCACATATTAGCTGTCCACTATTTACCATATGATGTTTATCCATTTCTGAAGGGTATACCAAATCACAAGCCGAATCATGCTTGTTTGATTTTCTTTTCTTCTTAGTCTTGCGTTGTTTCTTGGGTTCAGTGTCAACTGGTGTAGAAACATGTGCAGAAACAACAGATTCATGCTGGACAATACTTGGACAGAAAGCATCAACAAAGTTAATTTTGTCATTGTCAAAATCTGGAAGTTCTCTAGACTCGTTTGCTTCAATAGCTTTGTCAAAGTTTCTATGAGCCATATGCAGTGGAAATTCTTTAACAAGATTAGCAGAAGTGCTGACCAAAGCTCCCTTCAAATTCTCTTCGTTGTCTGTTTTTGCCAAATTGCAGGAAAATTCACATTTATTGGATAAATTATTAAAAGATCCAGTCGAATGCACATTTAATCCATTATCATGAGATGCATTTTGCTCAGTTTTATTTGGAAGAATAACATCATCAGAAGCACCACCAGGATGTCTACTGATGATTGTGGATGTTTTCTCAAAATTCACTTCAGTAATCTGACTTCCTGATGTGTCATGGGACGAATACAATTTTCCTGACTTTCTCTTGCGGCGATGTGTACTTTTACCTTGAGAAATCGAACAAATTGCTGTATCTACTTTTGTAGAGCCTCCAAGTACTGCAGCTTCTCCATTATTAGCTAATGAGTTCGATTCTTTACCTAGTTCTTTATCATGGTTATTCAGTGTTTTCTTGGCCTTCTCTTCAGCAACTTCTCCAACCAGAGCATGGGCAAAGTTTTGTTGGGTGGATTCGTGATCCTGAAGTTCAACCTTAGCAGATCTTTTCTTTTTTCGTTGTGATTTTGTATCATCAGGGATGGAAGGACACATGGGATCCATAACTGCAGTATTTGGAAGAGACTTAATTTCTGTAGTGACAACCAACTGCTGTGGTTCTTGGCCATCCAATTTCCCTTTGCTGTGCTGTTTGTTTGCTACATTGTCCAAGGAAGAAACAGGTTCATAACTATTAGTCTGGAAATTGGTCAATTCAACTTTCTCAGATTTTCTTCTCCTCTTGCGATGTGGCGTTCCAACATTACCAGCAGAAGGATTTTCAGAATATAACTTTGCAGTATCCTCATGATTGGAAGTTCTTGTATGTGATTCTTTATCAATGCCTCTATGATCTCCATGTTGTTCTTTGGGATTCCCTTCATCAGCACATTCTAAAGAATGACTAGGATCATTGCTACCTGATAATGTTTTGGGTAAGTTCTTCCTGGATCTTTTCTTTCTGCGGACATCAGTTGGAATTTGAGATTCAACTTCTGCAGAATTTCTAAATGGAGCTGCTTCTTTAGTGCTGGGTGCAAAGTTAGACTCTGTGATGCCATCTTTATGGTTATCATCCAAGGGAACTTCATGAGTATCAGCCTCCACTATATTTTTACAGAAGTCCATGTCTGAGATATGATTTATATGTGAACCTTTTGCCATATTCTCACTGCTGAAATCCAAGACATCAATTTTTTGAGAGTAAGTGTCTACTTGCAATGAATCTTCACCAGCAGCATTTTCAGAAGCTTGCTTAGTGGCAGCATCAAACTGTTTGTTCAGATCTTTGTGCTTGTTTACTAATGCTCCTACATGATTGCCTTCTTTAATTTCTGGTCCAAGACCACTGGAATTCTTCCCCAACAAAGGTACGTGTTCAACATATGGTTCTTTAGTATTTTGAGGCAAAGCCATGTCAGGATCATTTGATCGCATATCAGAAGTCGCTTCAGTTTGTTGAGACTTGGAAGAGTGTCTTCTCTTTTTGCTTTTCTTTTTATCATCAGTACGATGTTCTATCAAATTAGGGTCACCATCACGTAGTTTACTGTACAATTCTTCTGGAGACACCAAAATAGCTTTGCCTGCAACCGTATCAACTTCACTAGGAAGTTTTCCCATTGTGGAAGTCGCTTTACCACCAAGAGCTCCTCCAACATTATATGTTGATGTATGCTCCTCAACAGAGTTTGCTTTCCTCTGATTTCCCATTTTGTTCCCTGAAAGAACATGTTCAGAATTCGCATTGATGAAATGATCATTCCGTTCAACATCATTCCTTTTTGTGGATTTACCTTCCGTACCAACAGGAACAGATTCACCATCAAAATCTCCAAGTTCTGGAACTTTGTTTTCTCTGCCCTCCTTATTTGCTTGATCAAAAGACAGACCAGAATTAGGAATAGCAGACAATTTGGTTGCTTCTTTGACCCTACCATCTGATCCATGCACCTGGTTTTCAACATCAATTTCTGGCCTCTCTAATTGATGAACCTGTGTGGATTGCTCAACATTACAATTATGTGTAGCAAATTGATCACAAGAAGTATTCATGAGACATTCAATCTGGCAACTCCCAGGTTTTTGTTCTGACAAATCAACATGACCAACCAACTCAGCATGCTTCTCGTTCACATTGGACATATCATCAACGGAAATATCCTTTCTACCAGGAAGCCTATCCTCATCCAAGTTCCGGCTAGGATCCACAAGAATTTGATGACTGTCATCTAACTGCTCCATAGTCTGATTTTCAAAATGCTCTGCAGTTCCTTGACATTTCGAGATAGATGTAGGTACAACATCAACATGAAGAAACCAAGTTGCCTTGCTACCATCAAAAGCACTTCTGACAAGCATGGTATTTGATAAATGATAGAAGGCACCTCTTCGTTTCACCTATAACGAGCAAATAAATTGTTTAAACTTCAAATGAAATATATCACCTTAAATTAAAGGGGAAAACTGTTAAAATAAGAGAAGGCATTCAAAAGTTCCTACCTTTAATGCCTGGACAGATACTTCGCCAACATCCGGAAAGCATAGTGTGTGTTCGATCCTTATTTTTCCTGTTCAACAAAATCAAGATGAACTTCTGTCAAATGATTCTTCCAAGTACGCTTAGGTTTGCCTTTCAAACGTATTCGGGTCTGCTTGCAAACTACAATTCCATGTAACAAGAACCGAACACAAACAGATTCTTGCATTAAGAGAAGTGGAAAAGGCAAGGAAGGGAACAATTTTTACAACCAAATCGAACAAAAAAGAAGCAACCTTGCAACAAAAATATCGAGTGCACTTGACGAAAGTTTCATTGCGATCGAAATCGAGGATTTTAGCCGGAAATAAGAAAAGGGCAGCGGGTTGAAATGATAAAAGATGCTTACTCTTGAGATCGGCGACGGTGTCGTCTGGGGACACGGACATGGCGAGGTTGGTGCCGAGGCTGGAATCGATGAAGACGGGGAAAGCGGTGGCGTGCGGTGGTTGATGCAGAGAGGGGCGATCCATCGCCATGAGGAGACGGCATTTGTGGGAGAAATCACGGTGTTCAAGTACAAAGGCAAGGGTTTTTGGGCGGCCGTGGGACTCCGCTCGAAACTGGGCTCGACCTGGGCTCGACTTGGGTACAACTTGTGCTCAAGGGAAGCGAAGACTAGGACCCACAATTAGAACGCACGAAGATTTCGGGTGAACAAAGCGGGTAAAGAAAATGTCTCTGCATCATGTGTCCAAACATCATGCACTCATCTTACAGGAGGCTTGAATCGTCCTTACAATTCGATCAGGCGATAGAAGATCGAGACGTGACCCGCCAACTCACCTTCCTTGCTAATGGACGAGGTGTGGGTCCCAGAGCGAAATAATCGGTGCGATCACGACGCACGGAGACGTTTTGGTCAAGTGGAGGAATAGAGGTGCGATTTGCATCAACGTGTCTAAACATCATGCACTATCTTACAGGAGGCTTGAACGGTTCTCCCAATCCGACCAGGAGAGAGAGAGAGAGAGAGAGAGAGAAGAGACGTAGCAGTTATGGGATGCGCACCTCCTCCTACTCCGGCAAGGTTTCTCCGACTGTTGCAGACCTCTACAAGAAGAGGTAGATCGCTCTGACCACCGAAGCTCCAAATGCCATCAAGCAAAAGCCGAAAAGATGCGCCGCCAGGGCCGCCGTCCTCCTAGCTTTATCCCGCAAGTCGCGAGTGCTGAACCAGCTCGACCACCGTCCCCGCCCCCGCGCCCGCCGGAGTCTTCGCTAAGGTTCTTCGAAGTTATATTAATATCGTCCCTAACTTAATTGAGGTTAGTACCGGTCTATTCGCCGGGATACAATTTATGTACGTACATATTTATCTTTGATGAATGATCCTTCACAATTTAAGGAATAAATATAACACTATCATTGACCTTAATTAAGTTAGGGATGATATTAACGATAGTTTTGTTACCCAATAAACTAATACCATTTCGGTCTGGTCAGATATCGAAATCATTATTGTCCTAAAGTATGAATATAATCATTTTTATATATTATATTATATTTGGTGGCTTCGTCAAAATAATATCAATGATTGGTTTAAAATTTGAGTCAATCGATTGAGTTCAGATTTAGGATAATTATATATTATCCCTCTAATATCTCTTTCATATTTATCGATTCTTATACTTCAAAAAAATCTATATTAAAATCATTATAATTATGAAAATAAAATATTTAATCATATTTATCTAATACAATCGATTTTATCGATGAAAAATATAAATCAAATTAAAATTACATTGTTACCTATCGTTTTTATATCATTCGTAATATTGGTAATATCAACCACTATATCGTTTTTGCTAACCATCACCATAATAACCACCCACGATATCATCGTCCGTCACCATAATTAAAATTATCTTTTTACCCATTATTTCGTATCATTTATGCACGTGTTATTTTATATTATATTTTTTTCAGTAAAACTAATAATACTAGGATAAATGAGATTAAATATTTTATTTTTATAATTATAAAAAATTTAATATAATTTTTTAAGTCTATCGAGATGCTAAAGAGATCTAACTATAAAGATTTCTATATAAATATTTTAAGTCTAAAATCAAGATATTAAAAAGATCTAACTACAATAAAAACATTTAATTAGCATGTTGGGATTTGTACTAATTTGATTCAGCCGGACCAATGATCAAGCTGGGCCAGCGTACATGCCTTTACACATTCCACAGTCATACAATACTTGGAACACCTACCATTGACTTTGAGAGGCGTGTTACCTATGATATGGACCGTGCAGGATTGCTTGCTCACCAAGAACAATGGCAACTTCTTCCCCAAGGATTCAACATCCATCCAACAGCATGCACAGTTGCCATGCATGCATTTATATGAGCAACGCCAACATGCTTCGCCCTCGCCACCCGAACTTACCTCCACAAGCCTTCAAGGCAAGCCGAAGAGATGCGTCGCGAGGGCCGCCAACACGGGCTGGTGAGGACTCACATCCTCCTCCCACCTCCTCTCCAATCAAGACACAGACCCAGACCGTTGCACCAGCTCCACGCGCCGCCGACCGCCGGAGTTTTCTCCAAGGTGCCTTCGAAGCCCACCAACCACTCCAAGTTCACCGGCCGCTGCGGCGGCGGCAAGCCGATGTGCACGGCGTGCCATGCGAAGCCTGCGTGGAAGTCGAAGGGCAAAGCCAAAGGGAGCTCCAAGCTCAGAGATGGGCTGGCCATCCGCCGAGGAGCGTCCGCGACCGAGGCTGTAGGCGTCTTGATGGACGGGATCGATGAAGATGACTGGTTCGGAGGAGATGATGGCATGAAACATGAGGCGTTGGCAGGCGAGGAGACTTCACTGAGCCAGACAGACTATGCATCAGGAGATGGAGATTGGTTCTTGGTAGGGGAAGAAGAACAATGAGTGTGTCTCATTGTTGTGGTCTTTGAGTAGACCATGAAGATGGAATCAGCTGCATTCTATTGTGATCAAAATAAAGTAAAAAACAGCAAAGAAATAATCAGCCTTGTATCTGAAATCTTATATGTACCCATGTTCTTGGCATTTGACTAAGGAACATATTTTTCAGTAATATGTTATTATTATTACAAATGTTCCTCATGAGTAAACTAAGGGTGGATTATTGATTGTTCACAATTCTCTCGGAACATTTGCAGAATTAATTTGATATTTTTCTGAATTCCAGAATAAGTTAATCCCCACCAAAAAAATACAGTAAAAGTTTTCATGTGTATCTAATGAGAATTTTGTCTCACATACTATGATCTATATAGTTAGATAAAATTGGTGTTACATAAAGATATTACATTCTTGCATGTTGTGATATATCATGTAAAATAAAAAAGAAAATTTTTAGATAAAAAAACATTTAAAAACGATTAGATATTTAAAAAAAAATAAGGATCAGAGGTTTTTTTTTTTTTTTTAATGAAGTCACATTGTTTTTTCATATGATCAAAAAAATAATATAACCCTATTAAAAAATATTATAACTTAGGCCCTAATTTTTATTTTCCATAAAACTTTAGGAAATCTTCTCTAGTAATATTTTCCATAAGTGGTTTCTAACTCAAAGAGAGTGTTAATTTGCCTTAAATTTGATAAAATTTAAAAAGACACAATTTCAATTTTATAGGGGTTGAAAAATAAAAATATTTATTTTAAAATATTAAAAATAAAAAATAATCATTTAAGTCTTTGTAAGTCTTTTCTAGCCTTTCTTGAAAATTTAAAAAATTTATAAAAAAAAATGATAGGTGAGTCTTATTGTTTTTAAATAGAGTTATACTTTTATAGCATAATAAAAAATAAGTGTAACTCATGTCACTAAAATTTTTTTCTCAATATTTCAGAAAACCTTATATGATAATATTCAAGTAGTTTTTGACTCAAATGGTTGTAAATTCATCTTAAATTGACTAAAATTTAACAAATTACATAATTTCAACCTTTTAATGATTGAAATAAATAAATAATATATTTTAAAGGCTTGTTATTAGAAAATTTGATTATTTAAGCCTTTTAAAATCATATCCAAGATTAAATTTTAAAAAAAATTGAAAAAAAGTGAGATGTGAACTACATTATTATTGAAGGGTTATACTCATCAATAAAAACAATGTAATTCAGGTCTCCATTTTTTTTTCCCTCAAAGATTTACAAAACCTTCTCTACTAATATTTTTTAAATGGTTTTTGGCACAAAGTATCAATTCACCTTAAATTGGTAAAATTAAAAATGATATAATTTCAAGTTTTAATGGGTTGAAATAAATAAAAATATACACTTAAAGGCTTTAAAATAGTACATGATCATTTGAGTCTTTGAAATTATTTCCTAGGTTTCATGAAAAATTTAAAATTAATTGTTAGCATTTATTAGTTTATATAATGAATTTATTATTATATTATATAAAAATAGTATTATTTTATTTTTATTTGTATTAAATAATATGATTTTTTATTTTTATTATCATAATTTTATTTTCATAACACTATTTTAAATTTTAAGATTAATTTTATAATTTTTGTGTTCTCTTAATAATTAAAAATATTTTAATATTATGTGTTTTTGTTGTCTATTATTTATTTAGGACTGGTCTATTGTTGATTTAAACTGGTTGGAAATAAAAAAGACAAATAAGATCTCTTGGTTCATTTGAAATTGACTCAAAATTGAAGGGAAAAAAAAGATAAATAAATAAGTGTTGGTACTTTTGTTCAACTGAAAAATGTAGGGGCTCTCTACAGGAAAAAAAAATTATATTTTTTAGAGAATTTGTCCAAACAAATTTTATATTTTGAATAAAATGAGAAGGTTGTTTTCTTTTAAACAAATAGAGACCCTTATTACCATTATGAAACACAATGAAGTAGACTTCTGAACAGACTATAGGCTTAGATTACTTGTAGTCTATTTCTTCATTGTTCAGCAATAAAATTTTATGGTTATTTTATCATGTTCCATCAAGAACTGTAGCTATTTGGTCATTATCCAAGACCAGAATCTGTCATCATCATAACATTCTTTAATAAGCTGTGGAATTACCATCATCTTCACCATTAATATAATATATATTATTTATTTTATTTATATAGATAATCATAATTTTTTATTAAATGGCACTAATAAGAAACTAGAAATAAAATGATGTTGGAGCAATTTATTTTTTTATTTAAATAAATTTTATTAGCTTAAGTATGTCTTGTATATGTCATAAGTAACTAAATCCTATTGCAAGTTGATCGGATTAAGGTCATGTAAAAACTATATTGAGAGCATGTTGGACGAAAAATTCTTCGTTAGTATTGGAATAATAATAAAGGGTTTGGAAGGTTCGAAAACTTAAATAAAATTTAACCTTAAATACGTTAGAGAAATTGAAATTTGAATATATTTTAACCTTAAGGAAAAAAATTAAAATATAAAATTTTCGATTAGCCTCTATATGATTATATTTTCTACTCTATACTTTTTTTTTCTTTATTTTCTTCTACTTAGTAGATTACAATGGAAGATCATAAGAGAACTGATCAATAATTAGTTATTTCTCACGTTAGTAATATTTATTATCTTATGATATGATTTTATCATCGACATATGAGACGTATAAATATTCAAGCTTCATCTTAGATGTTTTCTTCTTGAATCAGAACGGTATGATAATTATCATTTTATTTTTATTATTATTTTTTCCCTTCCACTATTGTCAAAAAAAAATCCATTACTATTCGTCATCACAGAATATATGAACTGTTAAGAGAGATAAACAAAAAATTTCGGATACTGTTCCATTTAATATTGCAGGTAAAGGGTCTTTCAAGAAGATTAGCATGGGTCAATTTATGAGACATTTCAGTAGTCTTTTATTTTGTTTATTCTTGGTAGATGATTCCATCTGATATGCTAGAATTATTCTATATATGTTTCCATTGAATATATGCGATTAATTCTATAACAAAAGAAATTTCTTTTTCGTTGATGTTTATTTGGTCAGAAATACTCTTTTTGTTCTACAGATATGCACTGCATATCTGCTCAAGTACATGACATATTGCATTTATCAATCATGTCATGTTTCCTTGCACCTTCTTCTTGCTTGCATCCCTTTCACAAGATACCAGTTTCGTATCAGATCAGCATTGGCTGCATTCTAAAAAGGTTTCTTGCCAGCTTCTCCAATCCACTAGTCTTCGGAAGCTTGAACTGATCAAAGACTACCAACAAAAACATACAAAGAAACGTACGTGAAAAGCCAACCTTTTCAGCAGTTGAAATCCTACAAACCCACTGCGTCTTCCTCCTCCACGAAGCAACAAGATGAAGAGGGAGGGGAGGCAGCATGGCACGGTGAGGAGCTCCGCCATCTTACCTGCGGAATCCGATCCGACGCCTAATAACGCCAGGGTCCCCAACCACGTCGGCGCCCCTCCGGCCGCCGGGTTCTTTGCTAAGGCGCCGTCGCGGCCGACGAACCACTCCAAGTGCACCGCCAGGTGCCGCAGGGAGAGGTGCAAGGACTGCCATTTCAGTCCCGTGTCCAAGTCCAGGGACAAGGCCAAAGGAGCGCACAAGCTCCGGTCGTGCGATGTGGTGCTCAACCACCGGCTGGTGTTGTGGAGGGTGGTCGATGGCGGAAGATTGCCGAGCTCCAGAAAGATCTCCGCCAGCGAGATCGTTGACCATTTGTACGCTTCTAGTCAGCACGAAGGAGATGATTATGATGACCAGAACATGGAAGAAGGTGCAGGTTATGGCCATGGAGGACCTCTTTTGGAGGCTGTTGATCCAAAGGAGGGACACAGTGGTGCTAAATATGAAGAGACGGGGGAGAGCAGCACTGACAGTGATGAAGACAGTGAAATAGGTTTCCATATGATTGGAGTAACCCGGGAATACTCTGATGGAGAAGACTGGCTTGTGGTGGACGAGATCTGAACCTTCATAGTTTCTATGATCTACTCCATGGATTTCTTATCGTAATTGTACATGTAATCTCCCTGAACAAACAGTATTTGTGTTATATCATCATCTCTGAATAAACTATAATCGCTCTTCAATAAGATTTATTGTTCAGGGAAACTAATCTTCCTATTCAATAGCATTTAATTGTCTGTGTGTGTGTGTGTATATATACATATATATACATACATATATATATATATATAAATATATATATATATGTATATATATATATACGCCGTTATATATGGTTTATGCAGCCGTTATATATATTGTGTGTAGAAGGGGGCGGCATTGATACTCTTCATGTCGAGCTTATCCTCCTTTGCGCATCCCTCGACCTCCATTCTTCAGCAGAAACGCGATTCCAACACGAATCACGATTCCTATAGTCGATCTCACCCCAGTGCAGACCACCTTCCCGTCGGCGCCAGCACTAGAGCAGTAGAAGACCAAGCCTTCTCCTTGCTTCGCTCCTGTGTCTCCTTCCCCCGCCTCACCCAAATCCACGCCCGCATCGTCCGCCACGCCATTTACTCTAGCAACCTCGTCGCCGCGAAGCTCGTCTCCGCCTGCTTCTCCCTCGACCGCCCGTCCTACGCCGACCGGGTCTTCGCCCATGTCCCCCGCCCCAGCCCATTCCTATGGAACAGCATGATCAAAGGCTATGTTGGCCTCGGCCGCCACTGCGATGCCTTGCTCGTTTACCGCCGGATGCTCGACTGCGGTTGCCGCCTGGACAGCTTCTCCTTCACTTCCGCCCTCAAAGCTTGCTCGAATCTTCTCGCCCTTGAGGAAGGGATGCCCTGCATGGTCATGTCCTGAAGTTGGGCCCGGGCGCCGACATCTACATTGCGACGTCGCTGATGGACCTTTATGGGATGTGTTCTCAAGCACTGGATGCTCGTAAGGTGTTCGATCACATGCCTGATAAAGACGTTGTGGCTTGGAATGTGATGCTCTCTAGCTACGCTTGCTTAGGTATGATGCGGCTCGCAGAACAGTTGTTTGAGGAGATTCCCCTGCGAAATGTTAACTCTTGGACTGCGTTGATCTGTGGGTTCTTGGAATGTGGAGATTTAAGCGAATCAATGATCGCCTTTCACCGAATGCAGCTCGATGGTTTGAAGCCTGACAAAGTCATGGCTGTCACAATGTTATCTGCTATTGCTGATCTAGGAATGCTGGATTCAGGTAAGTGGTTTCATGAGTATGTGAAGAAGAATGAGATTGCAATTGATGCTTATGTTGGCAATGCACTCGTAGATATGTATGCTAAATGCGGCAGTATCCAGGATGCCAGACTAGTGTTCGATGAGATAATTCGAAAAAATATTTCATGCTACAATTCTATGATCTTCGGACTGGCTGCTCATGGACTAGGGGAGGAAGCTCTTGAAATATTCACAGATGCTGAGAGAACTGGGATTGGAATAGATGACATTACTATGACTGCGGTTCTAACTGCATGCAGCCACTCTGGCTTGGTCGAGGAAGGTCTGAAGTACTTTAAAACAATGCAAAATGTTTATGGCATTGAGCCTAAGACAGAATATTATGGATGCATTGTTGATCTTCTGGGAAGAGCTGGAAGATTTGATGAGGCAATGCAGATCATAGAGATCACAGAGGATGATTCTTTCATATTGGGAACGTTAGCTGCAGCTTGTAGGACTCATGGAAATCTTGGGTTAGCCAATGAACTAGTAAAAAACATCTCCAAGTTGGATCCAACAAATTGTGGGTTTCTAGTGTTGCAAGCTAATGCTGAAGCAGCTAGTGGGAGGTGGGAAGAGGCTGTAAATGTTAGAAGACTGATAAAGGATACTAGAATCAAGAAGAGGCCTAGTTGCTGTTGGATTGAAGTGGGAAATGAAGTGCACGAGTTTGTTGCTAGTGACAACTCTCATCTAAATTCAGTAAAGAGTGCGAGGTATATATGTTGAATAGTGGCACAGGAAGAATGGTTTAGACATTGAATTTATTGACAAATAAAGCAGTAAGTGTTGATGCTTTGTCTACTGATATGACTCTGTTTTAACTAAGTACAATACTCTAAGCTGTAAGTTTAAAGAGGACAGACAAACAGCTAAATTCTATGCAAAAGAAGATAACAAAACTAACCTGTTTAACTAGTCAATCTCGGAGATCTTATCAGCCTACAAATTGCAAGATGAAGATACTTTCCCAACAGAATGAATGAACATAGTTTAGCAATTTGGAAAAGTCTCCTTTAGTTGTCAAGGATAAGCAATGTATGAGATCATGAATAAGCTGCACCAAGGATAGCCAAGCATTTGCAGTTGACTTTTCCATCTCAGTTGAAAGTGCGCATAGCGTGTAGCAATATGTGATCCTAGTGCGTTGGTTCCATAATGGCTGAGGAATGCCACAATTATGAAGCTCATAACTTGCCCAGAGTCCTTATTGATAAAGGTGGAGATGGGCAGGCTGTTCTGGACTATGGTTTATTTCCCAGAAAAAGTGGTTCTACTTTAATTCAACTGATGCATGAATAGAACTCACTGGATCAAATATGGTAGTTAGCAAAATGCAGCAAGGACCTGAATATCATGCATAATAATGCTAAACTCTATTTCATTTTCAGAATTTATTTTTGATATTTTATTATTCTGAGCTTCATGGTAGTTGATTGAAACACTTATTTGTTAGAATATTGTGATGTTATATCTTGACTGTTCTAGTATGCATCATGAAGCAGGTGCCATTATTTGAGTAGGTAAAAATTTGTATGTATCTTTCTGACCATCACTCGGTGATCTGATCTCATGCATTTATGTTCCTCAAACTGCTCTGTGTATTTTAGTTATGTGCTGTTTCAATTTTGCTTGGACCTGTTGTTTTGATACAATGTCACCTTTGCATGAATATAACATCAAACAATCTCTTCGTTCTTAACACTTTCAGGACCATGTTAACAACACCTCAAAGCATTAGAAGGTTAGCCAAGTGATCTGTGACACTGTTTGCTTCCTCAGGTATGTTCTTTCTTTCTTTTTCCTTTTTGTTCTTATCGTTTCAAGGAGAGAGATTATTTTCATGGCTTTAATACCTGACGCTTGCATTGCAAAAGACCAACCTATCTTGCTACAAAACATGAGTTGAATATTAGAAAACCAAAGATTTTTTGTAACACCTAGGCATGGTTGTATCACCACACAATGTAATGCGATGTTTATGTGTCTGTCACTTTTATATAATTTTATTGATTAAGCTTGGCAATTGAACACCAATCAAGGAATAATTCTGATAAAAATAATGTTTTCACATAAACTCAGCATCCCTTTGATTTGAATGCTCATGCTTTAAGCTACCTATTTATGAAATAAGGGAGAACATGCTTCAAAACCTATCTTTATGAATAGAATAAAGGAAGAAAAAAAAGGAGAGATCATCAACTAAGCCACATGTAGATCATATGAGTAGCCATGATCACTGCACATCTATGTTCAAAACCTTGCTTGATGGTGAAACCTTTGGGATGATAACATGAAGCACCCCTTCCTTCATCTCTGCCTTAATCTTCTCAGCATCGGCATCATGAGGCAGTGTGAATTTGGCATCATGTTGTCTCTCGGTGTGCCTCCTGTCTTCTTTCTCTTCTGCCTTCTTCTTGGCCTCGACATATAGTATTCTTGCTTCCACCCACACCTTCACATCTTCCTTGGTCACACCTAGCATCTCAAACGTCAACCTATGAAGTCCTCCATCGTCTTCCTCAATCTTCCATCTCTGTTTACTCCGACAACAGTCTACAGTTTCTTTGCTTTGTAGGTCGAGGAATGTAATGCCATTGCAGTAACAAGGATCATGCATGAATCTGTCGGTTGTCTCTAACATCTGTTGCAGTATCCACTTCAACGGGAACAACTCCCATATACCTGAAATCCAAAACATGATAATTATATATGCCTCTGTGATGATTATATTCTGATAGAAACGAAAACTCTGGTTTGAATCTTTGCTTTGTATGTTATTATGCTCATATGGCAAACGATGTAACTGAGCTTGACATGCTGAAGCTATATTGAGGCATGCAATGATTAATAGGAAATACTTTCTACTTTGATACAGAATTAGTTAAGCTTATGTGATATCCTGACTGAATAAGGATGTAATTATGAACAGAAAGAAGACTAGACGAGACAAAATAAAAGAAGAGGCAGATGTAGATTGGCAAGGATGATGTTACCACCAAGTGATGAAGCCGGTGTTTGTCGCTGCATCATTGTCTGGTTCATCTTGCTAGGTTTTTGAAGAGGTTCTCCAGAACTCCCTGTGCGCTGGGAAGCCATGGCCTTCATGGCAACGTATCTGGGAGCCCTGAGATGGCATGGAAGGAAACATTGGGTTGTGAAGCAACTGCTTCTGTTGCTGCTGACACCCCTCCTTCGGCTTAAGAGAGAAGAGAAGGTGTTGATGCTTGAAGTAGCCGACGACATATTCTCCAGTATGTCGAGGTTGACGTTGGGGATCAGAGTTTAGTTTGATCTCAGACGTCTCTCTCTCCATAAATAAATAAATATTATATCTCGGGGATAGAATTTGTTGAGTAAAAAAACCTGAAAGATTTATATCCAAAGTTATTGAATTTTGTTGCCGTTTGTGACGTTCTCAGTATAATTTTTTTTGGATAATTTATTTAAAAATTACTAGTAATGAGCTTTTAATCATATTTAGTTTTTATTAAAGGATTTTTTTAGACTTTGATCAAATCATTAAAAGATGATTATCATTTGACTATATTTGATTTGATTTTTTTAAAATGAACTGATTCTTTTGAGATCAAAATTAAAATAAGTTAAGCTCAATTATCTAACTTATTTTAAAATTAATATATTTTTAGATATTTTTAGAATAATTAATATCAAAACTTTGAGAATTCTACTAAAATATGATTTTAACAAAAAATTACTAGTTTTATATTTTATGATGAATTTAGAATAAATTTATATAAAAATTAATACATTTTTAATAAGTTTTGTAAGTGAGTGTAACTTGAATGTAAAATATAAAATTATATTTTTAAAAAAAATCCTATCAAATTTGAAGGGATCCGACCCGATGCGACTTGACTTAAACCGAATCGACTCACGAATTGATTGAACTTAAAACAACTCGGTTCAAAGATATTATCAAAATATATGGGTGTCATCCAGTAAAAAAATGATTACTATGGACTTTTTTTTCGATAAATCTGTTTTTTTTTTTATTTTCTAGCATGATAATATACATCATGTACCAAAGGAGGACAGAACAAAACTGTAGTATAAGAAAGTTTATGGTAAATACATCTAAAATATTGGATTGATGATAACGAATCAAATCTCTATTTACGGCTTAAAATCTCATCTAACAAATTTACTAAAACACTTAGATTCAAAATATCATTTGATTTTTTTTTTATAAAATATCAATTAACTTAGTTGGTAAAAATTATTTCACGTATTTGTAAAGACTAATAACAGTACTCATTGATTAGCCAAGTTTACTCGGTCTATCAATTTTTTTACCTCCGTGGCTTCTTCATCACTCGATGCCCAAAAGAACAGAAGAGAGGAGAAGGGAGAAGGCTGTCGCTTCCCCTGGCACAAAATAGCTCCCCCTAGTCGGAAACTTACGCCAACTCGGTAATCTTCCACATCAATCTATCTCTATGGAGGCTGTGTCACAACAGTGGTGGTTTCGTCTTCCGCGACGGCAAGAGAACCCATGGGGATTCACGATCTAGATTACTGCTGCAGGCCCCAACTCGTTGTCCCCAACATCTACTCCTACAATGGCGTCGACGTGAGCTTTTCGCCTTACGACGGGTGGAGTCGTTCCGCCATGCAAGGGAAGAAGAGACCAGTCGACTACTGCTTGACACCATCGCTCGTTCTTCGTCAGAGTCCTGTCAACCTCAGCCAGGCGATCTTAAGTGCAGGATTGCCCATGGTTAGGGTTGATGAGGATGTCTTCTATGAGTTGGTCATCGAGGAGAACCTGCTCCAGCTGGAAGAACGATGACACTCGTCTCGCCAAAGACAACATCGAGGCAGTTCTCACGGTCCCTCTCTAATCCAAAGAGGCTCCTCTCTTATTGCTGGAACGAAAACGAGACTGATGAGGAAAACTAAAGAAGAAGGAAGGCTGCATTGAGTTCGAACACCATGACTTCGAGCTCAGACTGTTCGAGTCGGGACGAAGGATCTGCCCTGCGATGAGCTTTAGGCACCTGTCCGATGTCGGACTCCAGACCATTAGGTCCCGCCGAAGGAGACTAAAAGGTGCAATCTCTCTCTCTCTCTCTCTCTCTCTCTCTCTCTCTCTCTCTCTCTCTCTCGTGCAGTGCTTGAAACATGATGGACTTGGGAAGAAACAGAGAGCATGTGAAATCAAGGGAGAAAATTCAGCAGATATTAATGAAAGATGGGTTTCAGTTGGCACCAACACAGAGAGAGGAAAGCACAAGTTGCTCTTTTGTTGCAGTTTTAATTGCCTTGTGCAATCATACCACTGACCAATTAACACTACAAAACAAGCTATTCTGGGAGGCACACAATTTTGTCGACGTTAGAGTTTAATATATATTGAGTTTTTCCTAACAATCTAACTTTTTAAGATTATTAATAGTCCAATTAAAATATTTATTATGATATTACAGTAGATTGCGTATTCAATATATTTATCAACCCTATTGTTTTGCACGATGCTTAATTAATATTTTACCTAATATCCCTTTTTTGTTTTGACTTTTTTCTAGAGCAGTTGAAAGAAAGAGCAGTATCTAAGCGTTGACAGCCATACATACCTGCAGTCTTCCAGACAAAGACCTTGATGAGCTAATTTGATTTGCTATTTTATTTAGAACAAGAAGTCTAATGTGACAGTCAATAAGCTAACGGATCTCAGTTGAGCTATTGAAACAGAAGAAAACGTAAATGATCTGCAAACACATACCTCTTTTCTTTTTTATACTCCAAAGAAGAGACAGTAATATTTCAGCATGTATGATGCTCACAAAATGAGGCCCAAATTTGATGCTCTCCAAAGATGAACATCGTTCAAAGAAGCTGACAGAAGACAAATCTATGAATGTATAATGGTATTTGAATAATGGATCATTACAACACAAATAGTTGCTGTAAACTGAATAAAAAGTGTTGACCGTTTGGCGTACATTTATGTTTGTGAAGTAAGCGAGCTGGCATAGTTGAATGGAGTGCTGCCTCAGTGTCGTAAAAGCACGCATTTATATGCTGCAGTTGGCACGTATGCCGTCGCATAGATACATGTTGATCCTCGAGAGCAAGGACCAGAAAGTACACTGGGCCATTGCGACAAGATACGCAGCTTCCGTTTGATCATTTGGTATGCACTCAAACCCAAACTCTAATATTCTATTAGGGCAGCATCAGTTTCAGAGAGTGGTGCTGCAGAAGGATAAAACATTTAGTGTCACCAACTTGTCGAGCATTTCAGGAGAAATTCTAGTGGGAGGGAGTATTAGCAGCTTTAGTGATCCAAAGTAATCGTTATTGAATGACTAGAGTGCTACATATTAATCACATAGTGACGATGAGCAGCTTATTCTATAAGTTTAAACTACTGTTCCCATATCAAAAGATGCATACTCTAGCAAATCAATGTTAGTGTCAGTGTCACTGTATAATTTAAACAGGAAAAAAAGAAATCTTACTACTAGATGCAAAGATATATAAATGTGTGGATAGCATTTATTGGTGAGAAAAAATTACCAAGCAAGTCCTCATAAGCATCTTGGAAGAATGATGATTCCATTAGCAAAGGAGGTGAGAAGACTTGATCCATAGCATCATCAATATCTGCATATGCTTTTCTTGAATTAAGAAAGGCTGGTTGAATTAAGCCTGTCTGATTCGTGTGTCCATCAATTCCATATAAATTATTTGATATTGGAACAGAATCTAGCTGGCCCTCAGTATTAATGAGAAAATCTTTAGAACTGCTGGGAACATGAATATCTGGTGGAGAAAGGGCTAATTGTTGTTTTTTCCGAACAGGAGCACTATCTACCACTTTTACCGAAACTCCAGTAGATATAGGCATGAAGAAGTGTTCAGAACTGTCATCTTCGCTACTTTCTAATATCAATTCTGAGTTGTTTGATGGTCTTGTAAGTGCTGCTTCACGAACAGAACGCCTAATACTCTGAACATCATAATCATCATTTTCTGTGTAACAAGGAAAAAGATAATAAATAAAGACCACGATTCAAAAATTACTGTGGTTGACATCAAAAGGCTACAAATGCAAAATCAAGCATAACGGTTGCAAGATACCTATGAATAAATTGAAAGAAGAGGTAAGTTGGCAGACAATTGAAGATGCTAACCTTTTGCTGCACCACCTCTATAATTATTTGTAAACTGCGACTCTGCTGATGTTCCCACTGGCAAAGATTTCTGAATGGATTGAGCAGTTATAGTACTCAACTTTGGTGTGTGCATACTTTTTGCTGATGAATTGGGAGCCAGACTGATTAAATGAGGGAGTTTTAGAACGGGGCTTTTGGAAACATTCTCAAGCTGAAGAGATGAGAGTCTGGAATTTAACTCGATGACTTCATCAGCAACAATATCCTGATCAAAAGAAAAGTATTAGTAGACGAAAACAAAAGAAAAACAAATGATGATATAAAACACCCAAACAAACTAAATAATTTCACGGACAAAGACAGGATTCTTACTTGAGGCACTTGGGACTGCATACTTAATATTGATCTGGCATTAAACCCATCCATTGTAGATGACGAAACGGTTTCCACTTCTTCAGTGAGTTCTGCAATAGATTTTTGCATTGCTGGAATGGCTTCCTTTAGTTGACTAATTAGTCCCTGTGTTGCAGAAAGAAGAGTTACAATTAGAAACTAGCCACATAGGTGCTTAAATGGGTTTGGCCACCTAGTCAAACCCAAATTAAGTAGGATAAACTAAAGTCTCTGTTCAACACATTTGACACACAAATAAAGGCTCAATAGAAGATACTTGTCTGTAATAAATTGTCTGATAAGTCAATTTTTATTTTTTAGTATCTTATGATCACACCAACTCTTGAAACTCTTTATTAGCCTTTTGCTTCGACACCTCTTGGATCCAACACCAAAAGATTGAATTGGTAAACTAGCAGAGATTTTGAGCTTATCTTGTATCGTTGTAGTTTGCATGCAAGGACTTACTGTGCAATGAATGGATTAACTTTAGCTTTATCAACAATAAATTGTTGTGTGATCTTGGAATTAGGGAAATGTGATCATATTTACTATTTTATATATATATATATATATATATATATAGTTGTATGTTGTTCATCTTTAATCAACACAGTGACATCACACACTAGGTGATCCCCCAGATTCCCTAAATACCACTTTCCTTTAGGTGAGAACAACCACAGATTGGCAGCCTAGTGAAGGGCAGCCTTTGCTTCAGTCTTGAAGACACAATGAAGTAGAGGAACAATTCAATTACCATGGCGGATAATTTTAATTAATCACATTCTCAAAGAAAATGTGCAATCAATTCCGCTTAACTATTAGATTCCACATTGTCAAGAAGATAGCAAGTTGATATCAAATTAGTCATAAAACCCGCATCCACTAAACAGAAAAGGCAAGAAAACGATATGTAACAGCAATGGTAAGTGTCAAATTTACCTGTATGCTAACTAAATGTTGGCGATGTTCTGCAAGAGTTGTAGCCAAGAACTCGGCATGCCCACTTGCATCATTTTCAGATGAAGTACGAAGGAGCTCTGGGCCCTCTCCATTGTTAGCCTTGACCTGCAATAGCAAAAGTCAACAGCAATCACTAGCACACCAATTGTGAAGATTATGGATTAAGTTACAAATAAAATTGCACTCTACCTCTGGTATGCTGAAATAACTTAAATTTGACATTTACCCTGAGTTTCCAAAGATATCTTAGACTCTACATTAAATGAGAAGAGAAAAAGGTTCAGCAAACAAATTGGATGGATTTCCAACCAGCTTCATGCAGAATACACTGTTAGAGGGGGGTACAAGATTTCCAACAAGCTCAACTGCAATCCTAAGTTATATGAGAAGGAAAAGAGGTCGAGCAGAATTAGTCAATAGATGGATGTTCTGTGAAACTAGTTTAGAGTAGACACGAGATTCCCATCTATCCAGGACAAAGAACAGGAAGATCTATACATCCTAAGAGAATACACCTGATTTTGCTAAAAAGAACTGTTGAATTGGCTTATAATTAGAAACCAGCAAAGTAAGAAGGTTTTATTCCTTTTTATGCCTGCTGTTATCAACTCTATGAACCCAGGATTAGGAGATTTCCAGTAAATTGACCCCAAAAAGTCTCTGCTAGATGTCTGTAGTACCTTGATAAAGAAAAATATATCAAAATATATTAATCAGCCAACCGGGACTTAGCTTAGGGATTCATGGTGCTTCCTATTTCTGAAGAGGTTACATGATCAATTTTGCAGGCAGGAAGAAGTTTCTTTTTATTTTACCAAGTATTGGGTGATGGAAACACTAGTGACCAAAGTGGTTTGTTAACGAGGAATTCGTTAGCCCAGAAAACACATTTGATTTTAGAGAACTAAAAGTTATTGCCTGTTGTCATTTGAAAATTATGTGCAATTGACACCAAAAGGGACTTTAAAGCAAATAAACTATTTATGGTTTATTATCATGGATAGAACTTATATATGCAAACATTAGTATCAATTGCAGCAGTATAATAGTAGCCATTGAAGAGAAATAAAGTGAAAAGGATATGATCAGGGAGAGGATGAAAAAGAACTCTTAAACAACTTACAGGAGAAAAACATATATCATCCCTTCATTCTTCAATCAAAACTTAATGCAAGTCACTGAACCCTTATCAAATTTGTAACAAAGATCCCAATAATAAAGGAAAGGAAAAAAATAAAGAGCCAGCTGTGTATAAAATAGAGGATGATGCTGAACATATTAACCTCCATGTGAGTTCAAATCTCAGGACTCTAATCTCTCCTGCCTTTCTCTTTGATTGGTAGCTCGTTAAATGAGCATTGTCAACCTGTTTATCTGCTGTCATGATGAATTACCGAGGTTGACAGAACCTAGGACTGGTATGGGCCTTTATAACTCATATTTTATTCTAACCATAGACCATCTAAAACCAAAATCTATAACTTCATAATTAAAATTAGCATCTTAAATCTGGATTTATCATCTGATCACCACCAAAGAAGGAACCAATGGCATGCACAACCATTGTGCATTAGCAATTCAAAAAAGGCACATGGTTCATAGTTCATACCCTTCATTCTGTTAGAGGGATGGGAAAAAAAAAGAAGCACAAGAATCAAGGCCATTTCAAAAATCACATAATCAAGTTCCTTCCCTATGGTCTTCCTATAGCAGCACCGATGATGATGGCTCATATCATGAGAAATGTCAAAGACTTAACGGTCTGGTATAAGTTTATGATCGACTATAAACTCATAAGAAAGTGAGAAAATATTTCCCATCAGAACATACAAGTGTGCACTAAGCTGCAGGATCCACACACTACATTTTAAAACTAGGCAATCTTGTAGAGATACGTAACTGAAAATCTTTTGCAATATGCATAATATCAACTCTGGAATCAGAATGATAAAAAAATAAATATATGTAATTATCTCACTCGAGTTCAATTGTTATGGCTTAAAATGTTTAATCTGAATTAACTTACCAAATAAAGAGATTGTTTATGAATACGTTGTAAAGCATGAGTCCAACGTCTAAGAATTTCGGCAACATCAAATGTAGGGTAAACTATTCCACCTCTGTCAACCATCTTCGAGAAACTCTCACTTATTCCTTGATTATGAGGTGAATCCATCTGCTCACGGATATCTATAGGCGAAGATATCTCACCAGAAGCAACTGATAGTACATCTGAATGTGGAACCTGTGAGCTTAGACCCATAGTTGCAGCCAAAGATGAACCAGAGATGCGATACCTAGCAACGGAAAGTAAACATCATCTGAGTATCAACTAAATGAAAGTTTATTTTTCTACAAATTATTGAACTTCACCTGTGCTCACGATGGGCTATCAAATCCTCAATTGGGCCAGAAGCTAAAACCTCATGTTGATCTGCATAACAAAGTGTTAAAAGTATGTCAAGAAACCAAAATGAGACAATTATCTATCACATATTGAAAAGCTTGGAAAATGTTAAACTGACAAAGGAAATAAAGTGCTTAAAATATAAAAACCAATTAAAAAGTAAAATCATTAAAATATCATAGCATTACTTAAAAAAAAGGAACAATCATCTAAAAGCTCATTGATCTTTCTCCAAGAGTTCCAGTGATAATCTAAATCAAAGAACTGGTCATCTTTAAACTCACTGATATGGGTAATTATTTCTCTAAGTTCTCCAATAATAAACTAAAAGTTTGACCAAAAGTTCAAAGCTGACATGATCTTGTATTGGTTGAAGACCTGCAATACTAATTGATTCTAAAGACAAGGCAACATCTGAAGAATCAAACCAAAATCACTTAAAAATGATGCTCAATGTCATAGTTCTATAACTATCAGTCAAAAACATCATAAATATATGGACCAAAATGAACATCCTTGATAGAACTGCAAGCAGTAAGAACCTTTTGTTTAACAACAAATGAAAGAAAGGTCCAAGTAACAACATGAAGTTGAAATATTCTTCTTTCATCAAGGAATCATTCATGAGAATCCAATCTGAAAAACTACGGAGAAGTAACCACATGGTTAATGATGCATATGACATTCATTTACAAGTTAATAAATTTTGCAGTATCACTAGTCAAAAGGTAGGACTATAATGCATAGAAATGTTTGTCTTCTTTCCATATACAGAATCCTTAAGTGAGCATTCACTGCATTCCAGATGCTTCCACAAACATACAATGTTAGCCCAAATCAGCAGAGCTACACACTGTAAAGTTATCATGAGTATCACATATACAGCATTGTCCATGCTACAGATACTGAGATCCATCCCATGTGTATTAGGCGTGACACCAAAGTTAACACCTACCCATGAAAGAACAAAGTTTTATATCAGAAGCATGCAGTCCCCAGTTCCATGAGAAAACCTTAGCAACTTTTTACCGAGTATTATTTCATGAGCCAATCAGGTCATTTAATAAAATGTAGCAAGGATATGAAAAGTATGTAGGGTAACTGTCCTACATTAAGCTTGGGAAAAAAAGTAGATAAGAAACTGAACACTTTTATACAAAAGCAGAAATTTTGAGAAGCTATGATGCCAATTTGAGGAGAATTATGATAATATAAATAGTGAAATAAGTATTTCTTCTGCTTACCCCTCCGAGCTAGTAACGTCTCCCAAAGGCAAGTAGCCTTGGCTACCAAGTGCGAGTTCTGCCCAGAAAAACTGGAGACATGATCATCACACAATTCACCTTCCGTTTTAACTTTACTTCTTATGTCCTGCAGTTTTTCCAACTCTTGTTGCAAATAGGCCTAAGCAATTGCCGTTTGAAATGGTAGAATTAGCAATGTTGTCAAAGTAACACATACAAAGAATTTGGAGCGAAAGAAAAAGTCAAATACAGCAATTCTGTGGAAATTATGAACTACCTCTTCAGCGCATAGACCACGGAACTCGGCAGTCATTTCATGGGCTAAGTTTGACCAAGTAGTTTGTCTATGAACAGCAGCATTTGCATTTTTCAGAAATCTCTGTCTCTCAAGAGCTATTCTAGCCTGCTCAACACAAGAAGTTTGTTAGGAAAGATAAACTCAGTCCAACAAAGTAAGTCCAATTTGTTAACTATGATGATCACAAATTTTTAAAATATTTTATATTACAAAAGAACATATTCAACGACCCATTTTTCCAAAACATTCACAGATAGAGCTCTGCAAACAGAAGGGCTTCGACCAAATTGTAGCCAGGGTTTCATCTGACCAAGAACTGGTATCGAAACATATAGCTCGATATCAGTATAATATAGTATATATTTTATTATTATTCAATCATACCAGAAGGTATAAGTCAATATGTCGCCTGGTATACTGGTACCATATCTTGTCTAGTGGATTACTGAAATCAGTGTAGGACTGTATTAATTTTTCTTAGGAGAAAGAACTAACTTGAATTTTAACTTTGCATGTTTGTATCGAGTTCAGTCTCTAAGCTCATTAGATCTGAGAAACTTGTGAAGTATATTAGAAAACAACTGCCCAAAATTTGGTTCGTAGTTTAATGTATAGAGTTAGTAGTCAGGTTTAGATCAATCTAGCAGTTATTCATGTTCATTAACTATTAAATGACAAGTACATGGTCACATTTTGGGCTAGACAAGTAATTAAAAAAGGAAAATGGAGGGGATAATTTGGCAAACAAAAAGAGGAAAGATAAATTTGATAAAAAAGGATGATAATGATAACCAATCAGTGTTAAGTGAAATTGAAACTTAAGTAATATGGTCAAGGACTGTCAAATGGAAGAAGTGATATCTGGATGCAAATGGCCATAATATGGTCAAGGACTGCCAAATGGAAGAAGTGATATCTGGAGGCAAATGGCCATAATAACAGTTTCATTTGTGAGGTAACATCTAGCTTCTTGGGAAGGACCTTCACTCATTTGATACTTGCTCGAGAAATTCTGGGGACTGTTTTTCTAGTTTTCCCTTCTATTTCTAAGAATTGCAGGTGACAGCCAAAGAATATCCTTGCCAAAAAAAGTTCAATCTCCAAGATAAATTGGATGGTAGATGCAATCACAATAAGTCAAGCACGTATACTGGAAATTTACAAAATCCTCTAGTGAATGAAAAGACCAATTCATGAGATTACCTTAGTCACTGGAAGCAATGCAGCAGCATGTTGATAAGAAGCATCTGTCAGTGCAGGAGGCAGAGGATTAGAAGCCACATCAGCAGCAAATGTTCGTACATGAACCTCTCGCAAGGCATGCACAGAAAGTTGCCACAGAAGCTCAACAAATCTGCAATTATAGAATCAATAATGCTTTACATGTCATAAAGGTAGCAGCAGCCTACACATAATGGAATGCTGCTAAGTCCAACATCAGAAGACCGGTGTAATGATATTAGCAAAATCATTTTATAACAACCAAAGCGTAATCTATTATTTTGGAAGAGCAACAAATATTTCAAGGTGAACATAGACTTCAGAATAACACAAACAAGCAAGAAGATGCCATTAGCTTGAAGATTCCAGGTTGTGGGGGTGACAAAATTAATAGAATTGCAATGAGATCAGGTGGTACCCATATCTTTCACCAGAAATGCTTAGACAATGATCCTTAAAAAGATTTTCTATTAGTTAGCTCCACCTCAATAACATTTTTCTTAACTGCGGAGTAGTTTCTGCAATTTTTTGTGTGACCTCTTTTACCAAATTTATCACACAGTAAACCAAAATTCTACCATTTGACCTTTACCACCAGACTTAGATCTAAGGATTGTAATTTTGGTCTGTACTGGTGTACCGAGCCCTGCTTGGTATGGTACGTACTGACGATACACTCAAAATCATAAAAAAAACCTCAAAAAATGATTGAAAAATAGAAACAAAGTTAGGTTAAGGTTTTTAAGTTAAAAATAAATATAATTTTAGTATAATTTTAGCAAAAATAATGTAAATTTTAAAAAAAGTGCCACATATTTTTTTCGAGCTTTGAGAAGTAGCTTTGTAGTACGTTCTGAATTATCCTTCCGTTAATATTAAATTATCTATAAAGAAATTATTTAAATTGTTAGATTATTTTTTACACAACTTAAACTTTAAGATTCAAATGAATTAAGTAATCAATCGATTGATATACCTAGTTCTACAACAAAAAAGAATGATGGGACACCACGGGCGACGTCTCAGGATCCTCGATCCTATGTATCATATATCAATATGATATGTTTGTCTGACCCAATCCTGAAATTGATCCCACGACATAGTGTACTGATACACTGTATACCACTAGTGCATCAATGTGATGATCGTCGTGAACTACATGTCCGAGACAGCTCCTAAGGCAAGGATGAATGTGGCATGTATTGGTGCGAACCATAGAGAATGTCAGAATTTCTACTTTTGCTATCGATCTGCTGCTCCGTATCGTAAGATCAATCATCGTACTGTTACCTAGAGAAATATGACCAACTATTACCGTACTACTGTTGGCTGTAAGATTCTCCATAATACGACGATTGTGAATATGACGAAATCAATCTTTGTTTCTAAGGCTTAAACGGTCAAATTGACTATTTGAAATAGGACAATCTCAACCTTTGATCGATTATCAATCGGTATAATCAGTAATGGTCAGATTTCGACCGTTATCGCCTGGTACAGACTCCGTATCGCTCGATACGAGGTCAAGTGACCAGTACTGTCTAGTAAAGGGCAATCCGTATACCGAAATCTTATCGGACCAGTATGCATCACCCATACCGGGCAATATGCATCGGTAAAGCAAACCCTGCTTAGATCCCAACAACTTCGAAAAATTAGGATTTTTTAACTTTTGCTCCAAATCACTCCTAATCAGAATCAGGTGCAAATAGGATAAAATATATGGATGTGTGAAACTATGTGTTAATAATAGCACATGAATATCAGGAATCATTCGCTACATGATCATTCATAAACAGAAGCACATAGGTAGAGAAACTAGCCATGACACTGAAAATTATTGTTCAACGACTATGTAATTGCATTTATAACAATAGGCTTTTAGCACCTTAGGTGTTGCCTGGATTTATATTAGGCATATTCAAGGTAAACTTCAGACCTGCATATTATTTACTAATGATATTGTCCTGACTGATGATATCTTAGCTGCATTAGTTATAAACTTGAAACTATGAAAATGGATGTTATAGACTACGGGTTTCAGAATAGATAGAACTAATGATGAATATCAAAAAAATGCAATTTTAGTAATATCAAAAGATGAATTGAGAGTTTAACTAAAAATGACAGAGTAAAAAGTTCTCATAAGTAGAATTTTCAGGTATCTGCAATCTAATAATTAGCAGGGAGGACAGATTGATGAAGATATAAGATATAACTCAAAGAGCTTATGTGAAATAATAAAAGTGACAAGGGGCATGAGGATTATTGCGTGGTTGTCATATGCTCCTTCAATTAAAATAAAATTTTCCAATGAACATTTATAAGCCCGGCTATTCTTTATGGATCAAAATATTGGGTAATTAGAAATCATCAAAAGTAAGTGTTAGTAAGATAAAATATGTCAAGATGGATCCGTGAAGTTATTAAGAAGATGGAATAAAAAAATACTTGCATTGTAAAGAATTGAGCATTGTTCCAATTTAGGCTAAAATGAGGCTAGAACAATTTTAAATGGCATTTGATTAATGGTGTCAAAAGATATTAGAATTAATAGTACATGGAGATATAAGGGAAATTAAAAAAAACTTTATTGAAAACAACAAAAAGAGATTTGATTGCACTTGATTTGACTTGTGATATTGCCCTCAATAGAGCTTCATGATACTAGAAATGCAGCAAACCAGTATGGTTGGGTTTAAATATTCAGTACCACAAAGTATTAAGATCTCTTAAGCTTCGACAAGAAAAATCAGTTGGAGACCACGTTTCTACATCCATCAGAAACATTGAATTTGTTAAGACTTAGTTATCCTTAGTAAAGAGGAAAAGCTGAAAAGACGATAATACTGAGCATAGGCTCGTACATGAATTTAGCTTTTTAAACTGTTCCGCTGGTGGTGCAGCATTATGGTGATTTGTTAGTCCATGTGGAACTCAAATATCCTAGTTATGAGTAATCCACAGTTCTAGAGCTTTCCATTTCCAAAGTTCTTATAATGACAATGCCTTCTCGAGAAAACTAAATTGCTACATATTTCACCACCAAGAGGATTTTACATGATAAGAGCTGAAAATTTGTATTCTAAGTGGGAGCATAATTACATTTAATGTCGCACATTTATCATAGTGAACACAATAATGAAGCAAAAGTCTTCACATTCCCCAATTACAGGTTCCACAAAACCAAGCAAAGGCAACAAATTGCATATATCAATTTGCAGTAACTTTTCATACGTACTGAAAAAAATATAAAACTTAAGGTGTTTTTCCAAGTGGAAAGGAAAATATATTTCTCATTATATTGCATGTCCAAATCGTGATACAAATAAAGATACTCCAATGAGTTTCCTAAACATCGCATTCCAAGAAAAAGCAACACGTATTGCAAGTAAGATCAAGAATTACTAACTTGACAAAAAAGGGACTCTGGGCTCCAATCTTTTGTTACGGGAAACTGAAGTTCGGAATCAGGAGACTAAGAATATAATGCTTGAAAGATGAACGTTTATGCTGACCTTGGCCCACAACAAGTTGCGAGAGATGAAACCCTAGAATTACTCCGCGGCAGCACCCCTTGCGACTCTAGCTCAATAATAATCCCTTGCACGATCTACGAAGAACCGATAACAACATAATTATCCCTTAAAATATACATAAGGAAGCAAGAAAATTCGCATGAAATCAGCAAGGAACACAAACCTTTCGGAAGTCACGAGATTGGGCAGAATCAAAGATAGGCCAAACCTTATCAAAATCCTACACAACATCAGCAGATCCCGATCAGCTTCGAACAATTAAGGAAACCACTTAATAATCCGAATCAATCCGATCTCGTTGCCTTGGCGGAGCCGCGGAGGGCGCAGAGAAGGAAGTATAGTAGCTGCTCTCCCAACTTTGGATTGGAATGGCGAAAATGCCCCACCCTGGGGCTGCCGGTGCCCATGCCGAGGACGGCCGGATCGAGGCCGAGGAGGAGGCAATTGGTGTACATAGCGCTCTCGAGCTCCGCTTCCCTCTCCTTCTCTCGCTCCGTCGCCATGTCTCCGTCCACCTCTTCGACCCTCTCTCTCTCTTCGTGTCGTCTCGATCGCTCAAAAGATCTCCATGCGTAGGTCGCTCTCTCTTTTCGCTCGTTATATGTTTCTCGGCTTCGTTGCTTATGTTCAAAGCGTCAGGGGCCGAACCAACGCAGATAGGGCCCGCGACCAGCAAGAGAGCTGATTGCACTGTTTGAAATACCTCGGATGTGGGCACCACCTTAGGGGGGGGCTCACATTTTTACATGGTACCCCACCAAAGAAGCCCGATAAGGACGCCATTGGCAGGGTACAATGTGGGGACGTCAAGGGGAGTGCTTCATCCAGACACGGAAAACGTTAGATGGACGATTAAAAACGCTTGGGTGTGTGATAAACATGCACCCTAATATACTTACTCGTGTTCATACCTTCTATGTTAACCGAGGATGAGATGGACCCACAGAGGAATCAAGGTGTCTGGACGTCCCCGAATATGATGCTTGTAACAATGTTACAATAGTTTGAATCCATAACGCCGTTGGGAGACGTGGAAGCGACGCACTGCGAGGTAGTTAGCTGAACCATCATTTCATATCGTTCCTCTTTGTTAATTTGAATCTCACGTTGTTTGATCTCTCTCAAGCCATGGTGTTCTACCCCCTCTCGCTTCAATATCTCCGTTTCAGATCACTCTCTGTCGTCTTGAATGCGCTCAAGCCATGGTCTTCGACCCCCACTCGCTTCAATATCTCTCCGTTTCAGATCACTCTCTGTCGTCTTGAATGCGCTGCCGCCATCCTGCACATCAAGTAGGGTTTCATTTTTGTTTGGCAAGGATGCCAACCACTAGAGATTGGCGATGCAGAAGTTTCGATCTTGTTCAAGGAGGCATCTTGATCTGCATTGTGTGATTAGAGATAATTTGAGCATTCTCTGTTTAGGTAAGGCGTTAAAACTGATTTCTAGGTTTGATTTGGTTTTCCTCCTTGGATGCATCTTTTCTGTATATATTTTCTTGTCTAATGGACTTTCTAGAATTTGCATTATTACCACATACGTACATGTTGGTGTGACTGTATGTAGCCCTGTTCTTCGTTCTGAGAATTTAATCTGCATTCTAAATGTTTTCAGCCTAAGCTTTTAGCTGTGCAGGATGAACTTGGTTATGAAATCCGTGATTTTGCTGACGCACCAGTCGAAGTTTCTGCTTCAGGTTTTCACTCTCTTCTAAGTTGTCATACATTTTCTACGCCTTCTGTTCCTGTCGGCTTTAGTTCTTATTATCCATTTTTGTGTTGTCGAAGCCCCGTAGACAGACCATGGGGCGGTGTGTTTGGAACAAAGTTGATTGATTTCTGAGAACTCTTCTTGCCGCAACCTTTTTTTCATCCATGTTATGACGATATTATTTTACAGAAGATATTTTCTGATATTGATCTACTAAAACTCTGAACTGCACAATCACAAACACTAGAGACCCACAAAATGTGGGAGGCAGAAGCAGCGACCCGCAGAGCAAGAATGACCAAGGTACATAGTCTTTTTTTTTCAAGACCAAGGTACATAGTCTGAGTGGATTAGTTTTCCATTTGAGGTCCTTCAATGTCGTAGTACTCAACTAGTCTTTCTTCTTTGCTGGTAATCAAAGACACTTTTCCTCTGCCTTTTTGTGCGTTCGTGTGTGTGTGTGTGTGTCTGAGAGAGAGAGAGAGAGAGAGAGACTCGCTGTTGAATAGACTTGTCTGTTCAACTTCGTTTTTTATGTTGCTCTGTAGTCTACTATATGTTTAATGTTCTCCCTTAAAATTTATTTTTATCTTATATGATGATCACTTTGCTCAGATTCTCTCTCTGCCACTCTATTCTCTCGGGAAGGGGTGACCATTCTGACTTATGAAGCTGAGAGTTTTAGCAGGATTTACAAAAATGACTTGGAACATATTAATATCAGGGGTTCCTTTGGAAGAATAATTATTGATAATTTTTATAGCAAGGAAAGAAGTAGCACAATCAAGATGATTAAAGAACTTATTTGCAATTCAACAAAAAAGGCTCCAAAGGTATTCAAAAAGGTAAAGAGAATAGTTTGTAGAAATGTCTATTGACTACAAAAAAAAGAGTTTTATTATAGAGGGAAATGTTGAACTTTTTAAAGATTAATATGGAAGATCTAGAAGTATATAGGAGATTGAAATTGTTCACAAGGCACTTATCCATTTTTTAGTGATATGAGATATTGCCCATGATCTAAAATGTTAACTAAAGTTCTATATCTATGTGCTTATTAGTTATTTGATAGTAATAAAGAAAGTTTTAGATGAACGAGTGTTATCATGACTTTTTATAATCTACCAAAAAGTTCTCTTATTTACTTAATTGAATTATTAGCTAGCTATAGATAATTCCTATATTTTAGATTTTGTTTAGTTATTTAGCAGCCACTAGACAGTACTAAAATTGGTGAAGCCAATTTCTAAGAATTGCATATGAACTGGTAGTTGTTTTAATCTGCATAATTATAATGGTTGAAAAGAAGTAGCATGTGTGTTAATAGTGATTTGGCTTGGGATCTTACTCTATGTTACATGATATGCTTTTTCTGTCTACAAAATCTTAAAGATTCATCACCCCTGTCATCTGATGAGATATTTTTACAAAGTTTGTTTAATATCTGCGAAACAAAATCACTTGCACTACTGCACACTCCAATTAGTTCCTACAACTTCATATCATTGTGTTATCTGCTGATTTTTATCATCTGATTCTCATTGCATGTGGTAGTGCTGATACTAATGGTGTGTTTTGCAGAGGTTTGTCGTTGATTCAAGTAATTTATGAATAAAAAATCTGTCTGTAGTTCCTTTAAGTTGTATCAGGTTTCACATAAATAGATAAGTGCACAGGATTAACTGAACTTTTTTAAAATACCTAGCTTTTGTCTTTGGTCCTTCTAATTTTGTATTACGCTTTTAGCATGACAGTCTTGAGGTAAGTCCAGGGTAATGAAGTCATACAATTCTGTGGAAATTAGCTTTGTCTAACAAGTATTGAAATAACTTACATGCATGTTGAAGCTCTGATGTATTTTCAATTTTTTCTCAGGTTAAATTTCTTATCTTTGTTATGTTTAATTATCTACTAGTCTTGTTTGATCATATTTTCCACATTCAGTTTCAGAACTGCTCAAGCACAACATCGGTCTGCAAATTCATATACTAAAGAAATTTGATATGCCATTCATTACAAACTATCTATTTCTATTATATGGATCTTATGTTGATGAAACCATTACTTCTGTTACTAGAACAGACCTATAGAGATGAAAAATCTACTTTGTCCTAGTAACATGTGGAGAACATGCTATATGGGACTGGTTATTTACACACTTAAATGCAAATTTTATGGAGCACTGATTTAGTTCAATCAATTAAATTGTAATTCTTTGTGAATTAGGATTTATTCCTATAAATATCTTGAGTCTTAAGGTTGTGGTGTAAGGGGGAGGCAAGACACATTGGATGCTTCTGAGAATATTCTCTAGGTTTCTAAAGGGGGGGTTGAAAGATGAGTTTTTCAAGCTTATGTAAGATGTGTGCAAGGAAATTTGTGCTAAGTGAAGATAACTCAATAGTCTTATAATTGATATCATATATTAAAGAATTTGATCTTCTCCATGGAGGTAAGCAGGAAATTACCGAACCATGTTACATCATGTGTCGACTTTCTAATATGCTTTGGATTGTCGATCTCTGATAGATTTTTCCTTTGGTTTTGGAATTCTTTTCTCCTTCCCCAACACCAAGTAACTTATGCAAAATGATTTACCTTGCTTTTGGTTGCAGATCTAAAGCTTGATGGTCCAATTGCAGACGAAGGACCATTATATTGCTCAACTGACCGATTGGATCCTGTTCCTCCTGAACAAGAACCAAAAACAGTGGAGACCATCTCCTGTTTCTGATCCTAAGCCAGCAGCAAAGGAGCCAACCATGTGAAATGTCTTTCCAGGTACCTTTCTGCTTTCATTTTCCTGTTTCTTCCTTTAAAAAATTGAAATGACTTCTCTTCAAGAAAAAGATGAAACATGAGGGGGTGTTTTGGACTTCGGAAGGAAAGATGTCATGTTTTCTGTCCATCACTTGCAATAATTAATACAAGCAAAAGATGATGTGCAAGACTGGCTATTTTGATCCTTTGTAGTAGATCTACTGCTGTAAAAATCGAGCACGTTAAAGAGAAGTGGAACAATATACAATTGGCCACAAATGGATTACACAGCTAAATTGGTATTAGTGGTGTCATAGAGAGTGAAGCACTTTGGATGCTGACAACACTGAATGGTGAGCTTCTAATAAGAGCCAATAAGTTTGTTCTTTTCTCGAGGTTTGAGGGATAATCCAGAGTTGACTTTATATGGTCTGATGTGCGATGAACATGAGAAATTGTTGGATGAACCCAATCCATGGCTTTTTCAATACGTCAATTCCAATCCCAACACTAAAATATGGTTGATGTGGAAGTCTCAAGAGGTGGAAAATATCCCAACAACCCCTTCAGAGGTTGGATTGGACCGGCATCCATGACTTTTCAATACACGTCTCAATCCAAAAGAAAACTGGAAATGTTTGAGATGGCCCGGCATCATCATGCAATAAACTACCGAGTCCGCCCAAAAAATTATCATGGGACATAAAGAGCCAAATTGGGTTTCCACCCAAAAAAATTAGGTGCATCTTGGAATGGAATTCAAATCCAAGATTTGAGGCTACACTTGCAGATTCTCATGATAGTTCTGAATAAAATAATATGAGAACTAACATGGTTTAGATGTTGTTTTCTTCATTCCTTGCAGATTGACTGAGGAGAAGTGGAGAAGATTGCAACATCTACGTAGCATTTGAAGACTACGATACTTGAAGGTTTGTACACATATCAACCACTTGGACTTGTGACTTTAATTGTGGTAGGGAAAGCAGTGCCTAAACTTGACCACCGGAAATTGATGGGCAACTACTGACTCACCTATTCATGGGAGAGCCTCTACCATTAGTTTCATGTCGCCTCCTGTAACTTCATGAGTTTAAACTACTCTCATTGAAGGAGACATTTAGTGACAATTTTCTTCTCCGCCTAAGATTTGTAGTGCTAAAAATTAAAACATATATAGGGCATGAAAATGTTTATTTTCATTACAGAAATAGCTTCCCTGCTTGTAAGGGAACTTCGTATGCTGCAGTATAATTTTTATTTCTTATTTTGTGATTGTAACTTTTAACGAAACAGCATTTTATCATATGAACTTTTAGTTATCTAAGACTTATCCATCTAAAATAATTTCTGTCAGATTTAGGAATCCTTGCAGTCTACGTTTTATGTTTATTCTTTTTGTTTAACGTGGAAAATTTTTGCTAATATTGTGAGTAGAAGTGGAAAAAATTGGGGTCACCGCATAAAGATTTTTCTTCTTATTCTTCCCTCCCGTCAATCATAAAAATGGAAACTAACATTCAATTAATAAATATTAATTACAATGACATACTTATAATGTTCACTTAGTTGGGAGTGTTATATATGGTCATGACATCAGTTGTTACAGTACGATTCCAGTTTGCCTACAACGTCGGACAGGTGGCTACCTTCTCCAGCATTAAAAGTCGGAGTTGTACCCGAATCCGTTAGCTGCGGGTGGTAGGTGGAGCGTCCCATGAGTTGGGTGGCCTGCCGGGCGTACCCGTCTCCAGCCACGAAACAGACCCATTTCAACGGCCGTGATGGAGCGCAACTATCTCGGAACGCACAGCAGCCTTGGGTGGGACCCGCGACCCGGAGGTTTTAGATGTGCGGTGGCGTCACAACCAACCCCACGTGACCACCGGCGCGTCCGAATCGCCATCGGTAAGCGTTTGTTTATTTGGGGCAGCTCTTCCGCGCACTAACTTTCATCTACCCATGCATCTACCTGCCTGTTCTCTTGCGGGTCCCACTTCCACCATGGTTTGCTGAGCTTAAATAATAGTCGGCGGCAGCAGAATTGGAGACCGTTCATATGGCCGCCTACTCATCGCGTAAAAGTTGAGGTAGACCGTTGGGTCAAAATATTCTGTCTCCATTCATTTCCTCTTAGTTTGGAATAACCGACTGTGGAGGGGTACATATGTAATTTACTATTCGTAATATTTTCCTTGTCCTTTCAATCCGGTAGTTGGTAAGAGAGAGAGAAAGGGAGGGGTAGGTGGTGGCGAGCACAGGAAGGCGCAGAGCGGCGAGCATAAAAGGGTAGCTGCCCCCATTCGTCCTTCACCGTCTGCAAGACCGCTGCTGGTTAGGTTTGTCCTTGGTCTTTTCTTTCATGATTTCTTCCTATGGTGCTTGTTCTTCTTGCTTGATCTTTTGTGGGTCTCTGCCCGTAACTTCCTTTTTCTTGGCGGGGAAACGGGTTCTCTTGAATGAAGAAAGAATTAGGAACCGCTTGTTTTTGGCTTATTTTGCTTCACCGTGGGTCTTCAGCCTTGATGAGATGGTCCTTGATCAAGAATTTTTATCATTGTTCTTGCACGAAAGGTGCTTTGCTTAGATTGTGTGGACCTAAGCTCTGCTTAGATTGTAAGGTACTAAGCTACTTCTTGATTCAGTCTGTCGTATCCTGAGACTTATCCGATCGCATAGTTTAGGGCATAAGAGAGTGGCGATGAGCATTCTTTTGGTTGGAAGATTCCTTCTCGACTAGAGATGCATCAAAGCACTTATGGAGGTTAACTGGTCCGTGTGCTACATTAATTCATTCAGTGGCTTCGCAATACGTGGTGATGATGAATGCATATTTATGCTAGAGGGGCTAATAGAAGCCACTGCAGGAACAAGTAAATGCTATGTACCGCATAACATATGATATGATCATAACAGCATACGGTTCTTATTCTGCAAGTGCCTCCAAATGATAATGTTTAGTGATTAATTGCTTATGATCCAGACATCCTTAAGAATATCATGTTTCTGAGACTCAATGTTTATGTCTCTTAATTTTGCAAAGTTCCTTCCGATTTTCAGGTACTTTGAGGAGAGTGATATTAGTGAACTTGTTACATTGTCATGTCTTAGTAGACAAAGATGTGCCACGTAGCAAATTTCATTCCAATTTTTGGGAGCTTTTGAGGATATTGATTTTAGGCAACTTGTTACAGTGTTGTGTCTTAGTATGCATCTTTGAGTCTCAATATCTAGTTGTTTTGTGGTTAATTTTTTACTCACTCTCTCAGAGAGATATAAGTAATGTTTGTGCAATAATATGTGATCCATTCTCAATGTGCAAATGATCATTTTTCTATATAATTATTCAGGTTTCATTCAAAGAAGAACAAAATCATCATACTGCAGTTAGCCATGTCAACTGTGTCAGATACATCTTTGAGAAATGGCTCCTTAGGAAATAACAGTTTTAGGAGTGAATCATTTTCAGAAGAGAAAGACATGGGTCTTGTACGGGAGGCTGGTTGTTTATCCATAATCGTGCTTGGTGCTTCTGGTGACCTTGCCAAGAAGAAAACATTTCCTGCACTCTTTCACCTTTTTCAGCAGGTTCGTGGTGCTTATCTGTTTCATCATATATTGATTGATATGTATTATTTAACTATGTAGTTTTCTTTGATAACTAGAACGTGAAAAATGACCTCGTTATATGGCTTGTTTTTCTAACAAATCATTGTCCTCTTCTCTTGATGAATACTTATGGTTACATGTTGGAAGTTTATTTTTGACTTGTGTTTTATCAAACTTGTCGTTGATGTCTAAGCAAAAGCCTGCTGTTTATAATGTGATTTTTTTTGGCATTAGGTGAACTATTAATCTTCAGTTCTCTATAATTTCTTTTTGTCCTTATCAAGCAATATTTTTCTTGATAATCTTGGCTCATTTAAGTTCTTTGTTTGGTTTTGGGTCAATATGTTTTTGAGTTTAGCTTATTTGTTGGTTAATGCCATGATGAGAATTTCAGATGAATAATCTTGAGAAATTTTACATGGAAAGGAATAAAAGGTCGCTGCTCGTTCCGTGTGTTGGCACATTATTTTGCTTTCCATGAATAGTAGTGTTCCTAAGAAAGCTTCGAGTTCTTTAGATTATGGATTGTTTTTTGTTAATTTATGCATATCTCAGTTTGTAAAGGGTTCTTTTGTGTTTTTAGTTGATTCTAGGTTCTTTTTTGGATTAGTGTCTTACAGCTGAGATTCATTTATATTATTATTTTTTACATTAATGTGTATTATTGTACATTTGAATTTACATGTTGAAATGTCAGATAATGTCTGTCTATTTATGCATCATATCAGTTTATGTATGCATAATAAGTTCATGTTTACAGTTGTAACATCTGTAAATTTTCTTTGTGATTTATGTTGCATATTATGATCAATGCCATTCTTTTGAATAAAGATATCATATAGTATATGCAATTTCAGTAACGTACTCATGTTGCTGGAGAAATAAATAGGGATTCTTACAAGAGAATGATGTGCACATATTTGGTTATGCTCGGACAAAGCTTTCAGATGATGATTTAAGAGAACGCATCCGTGGGTAAGACACTATTTTGTCATAAAGCATCTTGATCACTAATGAGCTTCATCAATAATTTTGGCCTTAACCTCGCACAAATTGTGAAATATACCTTCTCTGTCATTCCATTTTCCCTTTTGGATCATTTGAGATTTTGATTATGCATTGGATATATTTTGTTAAAATGTATCTAATCTTGGATGGTAGTACTTCCAAGTTCCAACTAATATTACAGTGATGTGATAAATGGGTCAAAACAAGATTCAAAATTACTGAAGGAAAAAAAGAAACAAGTTATACGAAGCATGATTGTCCATTATAACAAAAGGGTTGAATCTCACACTTGAATGATCTTTAGTTTCTTCTAGCAGCATGGGGAATCAAATATAGAACATAGGTAGCATGACAACTGGAAATGTTACATCTACTGGTACAAACTGGTTGTGTCATCTGGGACAGTCGCCTAACAAACATCATCTGATAAAATCTTATTAGTTCACTTCCTCATATTTGTTGTTTTTCTGCAAGGATGTTATAATCAGAGCATTGGTAGGATTTGATGGGTCTGATTGTTGTTACAATTCATGTCTAATGAGGTCTACCTTTCTAGTGTGTGTTGTCACCCTCATTGTGAAATATATGATCCGATGTTGTTATTTGATCTGGGCAATTACTTGTGTGTTTCAGACATTCAGTAGATTTTTTTTATTCAGAAATTATGTATTGGTGGAGATTCCATACAATTGGTGGCTCAAGTATGTTTTATACATGGAATCAGGATTAATTTTTAAACAACTGATCCAAATAATTCATATGGACACTACATTTTCTCAAGTTTACTCTTTTTCTATATTTTTGAACTAACTCCATGATCAAAGATAACAATTAGAGAAAATTGAGCTTAAACCAGTGCATCTGATCCTTAGGCTATCAACAATCACGCTAAACAATGACACTTAAGCAATAACACATGCTGCAGCAGTATTGAGGTCAAAGTCAGTAAAGTGTTTTGGAGAAAAAAGTCAGCAAACTCTTTTGGAAAAAAAGTCAGTAAACTGTGTTCCTCCATGCACTATGATCTTATCTGGATCAAAAAGTCATGAATCTCCACCTATATATAATTGTTTGGACTCTCCTTTTAGTTTCTTGGAAAGTGCTAACTTTATTTAGCTAGAAAGGCTCCATCACCCATTTGCCTTATATAGATAGGTCTCTGGTTTATGTTCTCTAGTAACCCACCCTTATCTACTAGCTTCATTTCACTTTGTTGATGAAATTAATGAGCTCATGCTCATCCTCTTTTCCTCAAAGAAAAATATAAAAAAGAATTTGTGCTACAATAATCATGGGCAGAAGTTAATTTTACTTGGCAAGGAGCAATGTGGAGCCGCCTGCCCAAAGTACCAAGTTCCTAATTGCAAAGTTCATAAGAGATATTGAAGGTTATATAAACATAGGAACTTTGCAGACAGATGCATGCAAGCATGAAATCTTGACAGCTACATATGCCAAAAAGAAAAATACTGAGTACAATGAGAAGTCATTGTTGAGATTTGGAAGCACTTAGTTTAACTGGTGATATCACACTCAGTGAAGCTCAATGGCACAAAGATTCATGCTTCAGTGGATGGATTCCAAGCAAAGAATAAAAAGTTTGCATTGCATATTTTAACTGGTTGATTTTAGATCTTCAAATGAACCTC